CGGCCAATAGGAAATGAGCTTAGAACTGACGCCTTCACATCATATAACCCGCATTTTGCACATAGCGTCTCTGGTCAAGGCATCCGTCGAAAGTTTAAAGCTCACCGTAGGTAAGCGACCCGGAGCGATGGACGTTGACTCCCAGATTATATGGTTCAGCAGGTCGGCAGTCTTCCGCGAAGTCCAGGCCGCCGTACCCGAGTGTGCTATGATGCCTATCTCTTGTTTCAGAAAAGTGCTTCACGTTGTTCACAAGCGCGTAGCATTGGTCGTACGCCCTCGAATGTCACCAGACATGCCACGTTGAAAGGCGCCCAGATAGCATAAACTATTCTAGGCTACGCAGACACGTGTACAATCACAACCTCGCGCTCAAAAGACCGATGTTGATTCCACTGCGCACAGTCCACAAAATCCCGTCAGAGAGGTCCGTAGCCACCTGACCGTCGTGCTGGAAAGCAGCCGAGGATGTGAGCTGGCCAGAATTTAACTTCCCTGTTTCGCATACTAGATGCCGGAGACGCCTCCGGCGCGGTCCGTTGGACAATTCGGCGCATCCTCTGACCCACGCCGGAACTTTATGTACGGCATTATAGCGCCTCTATAGTTGAGGCCTCTACTTCTCTCAACTAGGAATTGTATTATCAGTCCGCCACTGTGCGCTACTAGTCCCAAACTTCAACGAACGCCCGTCTTCCTGTCATCTTACGCGCTAGCTTGAGAACTCTGCGGATATTATTTAGAAGCCCGATGTTGACGGTGTCGAGTGGAACTTCTCCGGTGGTCGATTTTACCACACCACAAAACGTCCCACAGTCGCAGTAGCTTGAACCTTCCTCAAAACGGTCCGAATCTCGCCACCTCCTTAGCACGGTCCAACTAGTAACTATCCCGCTCTTGTGCACATCTTACTTCGTACAGCGGTCAAGGGAACAGGATACCGCAATCGGCCGGACTAGAAGTTCCTCCAAATTGCGGAAGCCGCATTAAGCTGACCAGAAATTGCATACCACATTGTTTCCTCAATAGGAAAGTCGACGGTGAAATAGAATATCGACGGCCTTTTCTTCGAGACAAGGGACTGACATGTTGTTAATGATGTCCAGGCAGACACAATGACGCCCTGCAGGTCTTGGACACTCGCATGACAAGGCATGTCAAGACAGGTAGGGAGTAGCCGACCTATCGCAAGCTGCTCAACTGAACATTAGCCCTGCACCAAGGCAGCATAACAAAGAACGATGTCGCATTCGTATTATCTATATCGCTAATCAATCCGACCCTTCACTTTTCCATGACGACCAATCAACACCCTCACGGATTTCAAGACTAGCTGTTGTGCCGCTCTATGCACGACATGCCCTTGATCACCGTCCTCGTCATCGGACCTAACCTTAGATTTGCCGGGCCCCCGAAGCGCGCACGGCGCACGCAACATCTTCACCGCCATCTCTCCACCTTCGATTCGATGCCATCACGTCCGCGAACGCTACCAGCATCCGGTGTGATGCTGACTCGCGACAAAGTTGCGGGTGGGTATACAAGAAGAAGCACTAAGAAAAGTCTCCACGCTGCAGAATATACTGCAAGGATACAACCTGGCTTGCCCACGAGCCAGCCGCTTGTCCCGCGATCCTACGTCGTGAAGAAGAACTACCTAGGCAGAGCCGCTGTGGTGCATGGATACTGATTGATGACATGCCGCGAGTGGGGATAGATACCCGCCCAATTAAAGGGACCTGTGTGTAAGATCAGCACTCACTCACCGTTTACCTCTGCGGCGGGTAACAAGGCTGTAAGACTGCACATGCTGCAGCGGATCCAGCCCATGATCAGCCTCTGCTGTGCTTACCCGATTTCTGTTCGCTACTCGGGCCGAACGTGCAAGACAGGATAGGTCTTTCGGGCTGCGTAAGCACGTTTTGATTGCTTCTATGCAACTGCCGATGGTGTTTTCACGTTTCTTGCTTCACCACTACCACCACCACCACCGCGCGACCTAGTCATGTTGCTGGTCGCGGGATGCCATACCCTACTGGGATGCGGATTCCGGAATAACTTCCTCATTTTTCAGCCTTTACAGCTGATGTTTCTTTGACTTGCATGATGGAACCCATTGATGTACATCCGCGGGACTTAGGGGCTCCACCCACATCCAGATGACCGACTCTCGACACGTGTACCTATAATTTACACCGTATCTTCCTGTCATGTTGATGCAATGCCATCGACGTCGTTTCTACAGGATTCGATCTGCGCTGCGCGAACGTCGTCTCTCTCGGCAGTGCGTGTGTGTCTATCAAATTACCTAGTCACGCGTTGACTTCGCGCTCCTCCGTCTGGGCGCAATATTTGCTTTACCACATGACAATATATCACATTCAGCAAAGCAAGCATAGCCAAAACGCTCACCGGATTGTGTGACTGACTCAATGACCTTGTAGATGCAGCGCTTAGGCAGGCACTGTGATCTTTTGCGCCCTCGGTCGCAGACAGATCATGCACATATTGCACAGCATCGCCTTCACCTCAGCAATCAAACCATGCCTTCATGTATCCACCGAATGCTCAGAACAGATCTTTTGATGTCCTACAACTTGAACAGAATTGGTTGCCGTACCACAGCACAGATATTCGTACCTTCAAAACTTCGAGGAACCTGCAAGAGTGCGGGGTAGAATTTTCTCTGCCACCCAACTATATGCGCCAGTGCTGGGTCTTCGATGCGAATTACACAACCGATGTTATGTAGTTGCTTGATTGCAACGACTTGGTGCTACACATCCTATTACAAGAAGACTCGTCATTGATTTACCTACTGTATATACCTAGGTAGGTAGTCTTCGTAACTGGCGCTGTTACCAAGAACCAGAAGAAGATGGGTACCAGGTACCAGGTAGTTAGTCATGTACAGACGATGTAGACACCATCTACTCATATTTCTTCTCAACAAGGACTGCTGGAATGGCAACTTCAGCTTCACTATCAAATCTTACATAACGCACCGCCCCCTCGCCAGTTCCATAATCCCGCACATACCCACACCTCATGATGCAGCTAGTACAATCGCCGAACCACACTGCCGGGCCCCGCATGCCCTTGCGCCAGCATCATCCTTGCCCGGTATGCGCATCGCCTTTCCCAGGACTCTGCACTCAGAGCCCAACCATGCAAGCCATGCGGTACAACACACACACACACGCACGCACGCACACACCGTGCCCATGCATGTAAGCAGTGACAGCCATCCAAAGACTGGACGAGGACCCGCATCACCAATACCGTCACGTGAACGCACTAGTCTCTTCCAGAAATTCGATGCGAACAAGGGACGGGGATGCAAACGTGTTGGCCCCGCGCTGCATATCATATCATATCAGACATCTTACTCGCAGAAAAGCAGACCCCGCCAATCAGATAATTCTACGCAAAGTCTGGATTGGGCAGGGTAGGAGTGCCCGCCAATCGCTGCGCTCCCCACACGCATCTTCTCCGTCCGTTTCGAGGGGGTGGGACATGTGGCCCCATACTATTCTTAGCAGGTGTAGATGGGAAGTTGAGGCGAATAAACCATCATAGGGATTTGGGTTTCGGTGCGTCGTTGGACGTTCCGATCCGTTGTTCCGTTCTAACCCGCCCTTCAACCAGGCGTGCGTCATCCGCAAGCATGCAGTGTGGTCACAAGTGAGGCCATGGGACGCAACACACGCATATGGGAACGGTTGGAGGCTCATCGTCTTCATCGGTTTCACTACCTTGTAGATTATGTTATCTACCCCACACAATATCGCATTTCGGCTCCCAGGACACAAGTGCTTTCCGTCCCGTAGAGATTAAGTTTGGGGGGAGCAAGAGCATAACGCGGCTCGCGCGAATCGCTACGCAAGGGCAACCGACACGAAAATGGCCATGCAGGGTCCTCCAAAACTTTCCATAATGGGTTTGCTTTTGCTAGCTTCCATGTTTGCCATGTGGAAATTAATATGCATGACACAACGCACAAGTGATCGCTTTGAGATAAAGGCGCGATAGGTGATGCTTTTGGTGGGTGGGCGGTAGAAGAGAATACACGCGCGTCGACTCCGTTTAATCCCGCTTCACATTCAGGTTCTGTCAACATCCCACGGACAAGTATTGTTTCCAGAAGCAGTATGCCACTCCGTACACACCACTAGATGCCTCTGTACAGGAGTATTCACGCCACATTTGCGCACGCAATGTGAGACTTGCAGCCAAGCGGCACTGCTATCCGCTCGTGAGATCTCGCATGTTGTGCATGTCGCTACAACCGCTTGTATATGCCATTGGACAGCACAGGCCCTCAAGAATGGGAACGAACAGGCCCGTCTCACACACACGAGGATTCGCGAGACACTACAATCAGCCACTGGTGTGACGGCTGATGACGGGCAGCATGTCGTTTAGTAAACTGGCGCCCATAAGGCTCTCATCGGTGTGCAATGCTGTGTGGATATGCGCAAGTCGACGTTGTATTTTCATATGGATGTTCTGGGAGAATGCAGGCATGATCTGATTTGTGCAGGAAAGTCAGGCGCGTGGAACAGCCACAAGGTTGCATACACACCAGTCGTCAAGGCCGTCCTGACGCGGCCTTTGAATACCGTCGCTGGTATAAGGTCACTGTGACGGTGATGAGTATTGGTGGTTGAAGTAGATAATGTACGTAAGACAGTTGAATCGATACGGCTTAGCGTACTACCAAAATAGCGAAGTGGATGATTCTCGACACCTTTCTATCCGCCTGGCTTTACCAACGATTCTGTACCACATGTGTTGCAAGATGCCGACGTAGCTAACGATTTCTGAGTGTCTATATCGCTACATCTAGATAATTCTCGACAATCAAAGTCAGTGAACACCTTTAGCTCAAACCGCTGCGGGGTTACGCGCTCGTCGAGCTCAACCACCATTAACTACAAAGGGGGGTCTGAAGAACTTGGTCCCTGAAAAGGCTCTACTACCATGCTGATGGCGCACGACCGAGTTGTTGGCTTTTACAGAGATCCCGTAGACAGCTTCTCTCGCCCCGTAAATACTGCAGAGAGCTGGGCGGCCTACCATTTCGAGATGCATGCTCGGAAATGGGCATACTGTCACAATCCTTACAAAGTTCATCGCAATCACGAATAGTTATGTGATGTGGGCCATGGTCTAGCCCAACATCTAGCCAGGTAGGTCAATGGCTTTGAGGTAACAGCTTAGTAGTTGACATTGTGAATCATAGATACATATCCATGAGATCCAATGGCAAGACTTACATACTATTGAGGAAAACAGCAAGTTGGTTCGCTTTGAATTGCATGCCGGATATGTGGAAGTCCAAAGTCTCCTCAAAGGTATCGAACGCAGTATACATCGTAGGTCGCGGAGACCCTTCGTTAGTATGGACAGATCTTATTTTGTTTCTCCGCGAACGGATCTGGTCTCTCCAAGAAGGTCTCACACGGTCGAAGTTGAGCAAGAGTCGACGAGTAAACAGAGTTCTCAGTCGCGCGACAGTGAGATCAATGATTGGCCATTCACTTCGTCGCGGCAACAAGACTTGAGCAAGCGCCACCCCTCTATGGAGCACTATGATGTGGATACCGGTGAAGAGGTCCCACCAGATATTTCGGATCAATCTGAAGCTCAAAAAATACAGGAGAATTTTGGGAATGGATTCAAGGAACTATCTTGCAGCGGTCAAGATCTAGACTCGCGTTCGACCTACGCAGCAAATACAGATGATGAAGATGAATCGGGTAAACAGAAAACGACGCAAGACATGCCTTCATACGGTTCAGGCCATTCCGTAATCTATGATCATAAGGACGACGTATCAGTTACATCGTCTGACAAAGGTTCCGTGCTTTCCGTACCGTCTCTTGCTCCATCTGCTAGTGAAATATCCAAGGGTAGTGGATATTTGATAACAAAAATTGCCATAGCAACCAAGGAGGTTCTGTCCATATTTCGAGATGATGGGGTTCTTCAATCGCTCTACACAAGTGCAATACATGGTTCTATTGGGCCATGAAAACCCAAAAACACATTCAGACGGCTGCTAAAAGAACTCCCGGAAAACCTCAAAGACGAGGCACAAGATCGCTTGAACTCTCTCGCTGCTCGTTTGGTGGCACTAAAGGCACGAGACATCGCGAACTCTATAGTAGAAAGATACTAATCGGGCCACGCACCCACACTAGATGCAGCTGACGGGGAAGGACATTTGCCCTTGGGATACCCTGATCAAGACGCCTCAGATGGATATGAACAAGATGAGACGTGCGTTGACGAAACCATATTCGATGACCTTACGAATGTGCGAGAGTTTCTGATCCAGAGTACAGCATCCAAGCTAGTTCAGATGAACCTGCAGCGCTTTATATTCTCGAAAAAAAAACCGTCATTCACGGTTTCGAATAAGCAGGACTACAAGACTCACTCAGAAGAGCGAACAGCTCAATTCCACGAAGTCCTTGACCAGCTCTCTCATCTCTCAACTCTCAAGACTTAAACAAACTGTCCTAGGCGATGACTGCATTGTCATATTGCAACATAATCACGCCCTACGCCAGCTCCACTCATCCACCTTATCTGTTCTGAGGAGGGCTGTTTCGTTACTGAGTACTCCGAGTTACTTTCCTGGAGCTACAATGTCCAAGATAAGAGCATTGAACATCGTTTGAGCACCCAGATGACAACACACTGGACATCTATAGTATTAGACATTGTCAAGTATTTGCAAAATGTCGACACTTGCGACTCAGACCCCAAGGGCGAAACGTCGGACAAGCAAGTAGACATGAGTTTCTTTCAGGTTTTGTTGACCAAGAAAGTGAACTCTGATTGTACTACAGTTCTAGGTCTTCTCCGTGGAGATCTCGCACTTTTGACTTTTCGCAGACCACTACGGGAGGCCATTGCGTCTGCACCGAAAAGTACTATAGAACTGTCTTCCATGAACAACATATCTCTCCTGAACAAGGCCTTGGCCTTGTTCGAGGATGATACGATGGCAGAGTGGGATCGGTGGCCTTTGGCCCCTCGCATACCTGATATTGCAGCTGGGGACCACCGTCTCCAGTGGAAGGCAAGTTTCTTGCCTCTCAAGAGCAGCCGAATAGGACCTCTAAGCTATGGATTTTGGTGGATTCCGGCTATATGAGATCGTACTCTTACTCAAAATGAACACTATCCAATTCGCCATGCGCTCATTGCCGCAGCATCCAAAACAATGCCATTGCCGTGGTGTCAATTACCGCAGCAAGGCTTCAGATACCACTTCTCAACAAGATCCTGATTCTATTCCGAGACTGCAAATTGTTCCAAGACTATGGAGCATTCCAGCGACGTTGATCACGTCCACTGCTAGTCGATCATCAAGCTCTCCAACGATACAAAAAGCATCGAAATTGGATCAATCGGCTCGCATCACCATTTCGCTCCCGGTTCTGTAGATTCGTAAAGGTACCGCGTCTTCTATTACTACATCTGGAAAATACCACAAGTCTAATCTTTACAGCTGGAGAAGTTTGATGCTGGGCGCGTCCTTTCCCAAGGCGAGGACCTCCCAGACTACCCCAGCTTCGAGAACGACTACGAGTACGACCCAAGAACAGGCACAAACCCCATGATCTCTCCCAGGACATTCGCGGTCTGCCTCAAAGTCTGCGATATGGATTGTAGATGGTCATGGTTCAACCCGTGGCACGATTGCGTGAGCCTGCCTTGTCGTTTATACAGACTGCGCTGTATTCCAAAGAAAAAGAGCGAGTTTGACATACAGTCCGACGACGCCATGGCTGTTGCTTGGGGCTTAGAGGCTGAGCATGCGATGTCCTTTGCGTTCATGGCGATACATCATCTCGTTCCGTCACTTGCTGCGTTTGACTTCTGGATATATTGGTTGATGAAGTTTCTTGGTGATTGGCAGAATGCAGCTGTGCCGGTGCTCACGGTTTTGGCGCTTTTCGCAGTGTTATGGGTGCCTTTTGGCAAGCATCTTGGGACATCCTAGCACCAGCCAACAGTCTCGCCTTGTTACATGTCACTTGTCTCGAGCGAGAGTGGGACCATGCACACTTTGACACGCGACCATACCATAATGATGTGATAGCCCCGCCACACAAGCCCCTTTACCGTTCTGACTTAAGCCGGTGTTCAACATGCATAGATGATCGTGATCTGTTTGACACACATGGTCCATTACACAATTACGCGTTGCATGCATATTGCTGGGGTCCAAGATCCCTGGCGCCACCAATGCATGCAATAAGCCTGCTCAACCGACATGGCAACGGAGAAGGAACGCGTGGGGGTAGCCGAGCCGAACGTGCATAGGTTACACGGAGGCTTTCCCCACTGCACGCAATATTTCATTAGGATAATATGCATGCAACGTCACAGCAATGTGGTCACCGCGGAGATGCTTGAAACACGTGGATCGGAGTAAGGCGATGATAAGATAACGTCTTACTTGCTTCATCCGCCACCCACACCGAACCGAGTTCGCAACGTATTGAGCCGCCGCAGCGTCTCGGGCATGTCGTTGTTGCCGCTTTCGGTGCGCGTTAGGCGGTAAGCCGAGTAATCCCTGTTTTCCTGAAGGAGGGTATCGATGAGAGTAAAGTCACCAATTACACATTGACCGGAACTGAGAAGTTCAACAGCGTCCATATGGCCAGACTCAGAGGATGGCAACAGGGCATCCTCCTCGTTGTCAGGATCTATGCCCAAATCCGACAAAGTATCGGTTCGGTGTAGCACACCTCGCTCCTCGTCATCGGCATCTTGGTCCCGGGCCGCGTTGTCATTCACCGCTGCCGAGTCTGACGTGGTTCGGGTGTTGGTGGTAGTGGTAGTGGTGCTTGGTGCACCCCCACCAGCTGACAGCTTCGCTAGCTTCTTCTTCAGCTCCCGCCTCTTGACGTGTACCGAGACCATAACGAGCTGCAGGAACAAGATGCACATGTCAAGGGCCCCAAGCTTCCACCTGCTCGTGGGTCCCTGCTGCCCGATGAAGTCTATCATCAAGCCGCCATGCAGATAGCCTCGGGTGTCCTCGCCAGCCGAAGGCGCGGGATAGGTAAGATGCAGGAGGAAATTGACTCCAAACGAAAACAGGAGCAGCGGTAGAAAAGGCCGCGGTTCGTCTGGTGGGCGGGTGAGGGTCGCGGTGTCGGGGATCGGCGTCAGTAGAAAGCCATGTGTAAAGGTCTTGAACAGAAGCCAGAAGAATGAGCAGCTGCGGCCATGGTTAGCGCAAGAAAGCAGCAGCAGCAGCAGCAGCAGTGTGCAAGTGGTAAGCGTACTCCAAGTGGTAGAGTGTGATGAGTTCCAGGTAGACGACCATGTCCAAGTCGCGCAGAAGCTCGCCCAACATCTGGATGCGCTTCCTCTTCGCATCCAGTCTTCTCTGCTTGGTTGCCTTGTCCTTCTCGCGCTGTTCAGCCTCCTCAAAGCGTGCTAAGGCATCCTCCAGGTCGGCCAGGTGGGATGCAGCATCATTCTGGCGCTGTGGAGCTCGAGACGATCCGGCCTCATCGTTCATGGCGCAGCGAGAGGAGTTTTGCCTGCCGCCCCGTCTCTCATTGAAGGCGACGTGGTAGGTTGGTGTTGGTAGAGATGCTTGACCCAGGCAGTCGTTGTCCGCGAAGCTCTGGTGATGTAGGTACAGCTGCGCGCATCGGGCCTGGAACATCAGGAAGGGCCGATGGCCGAAGTGGTGAGATAATCGATTGCTCCGCATCTTGAAGCCATACACAACCCACTCTGCACGTGTGATAGCGCTTCCAGAGCTTCTGTACAGCCTCAGTTTGCGCATCCACACATAGCACTGTGCTTCAAGACTGCAGGTTCGTGCAAAGAACCTGCCATTGTATTCACATACCCACGCGACACCTCCGCCACCTCCGCATCTGCATACCACCCACCATGTCTTTTGGGCCTCCAAACAGCGCGCCGCTTCCCTCTTCTTTCGATGAGAATGCGTATGTAGAGACTCAGACATTGATTCATGTGCACGTGGAATTCGTCTACTAACCATTTGCCCAGCGACTTTTACAATGAAAACACCATCGACAAGATATGGAGACGCCTTCGCGAAGAGCCCCTCGTTCCCCTCGGCTGCGGCCTGACCGTCTGGGCCATTGTCGGCGCGACCCGCTCAATGCGAAAAGGTGACCACAAGATGACCAACATGTACTTCCGTCGACGTCTATATGCTCAAGCCTTCACAATCGCTGTACTGGTAGCAGGAAATATGTACTGGCAAAAGGATCGCGTGAAGCGCAAGGAGTACGAGAAGCAGGTTGCTCAGAAGGAGCGCATGGACAAGAGGGACAGGTGGCTGAAGGAGTTGGAGATGCGAGACGAGGAAGACAAGGCCTGGAAGGAGAGGATGGCCAAGAAAGCGAGGGGAGCAGCAGAAGAGGCCAAAGGTGTCACTGACATGGTGGCCGACAAGACAAAGGAGCTGAAGGATCAGACTGTCGGAAAATAAACATGAGAGGTCGCAAAGAGCTCAGCTACGGTTGGAGATAGTAGCATCATGGGTATTGCTTTCAAGAGGAGGATTATAGAGGGATGAAATGGAGTGCATATCGCCCTTCGAACGACACACCCTCGTTGTATTTATACTGCACATTGTACGAGTATGGTCTGGGAATTTGGGACCGTTCCATCATGAGCAACCTGTCACTTCACGAACTGTAACATACAATAACACATCATACCCAATCACATATTCACGTTTTGTCTATACTGCCGCTCGCCACTTCAAATTGACATTGGAACAGAGAGAAAAACATTTCACCTCCTGGCTGTGAACAAGAGTCGTCTATATATTGTGACTTCAGTTCATTGTTCTCTCTGAGTCAACCCCCAACGTCTGCCACGATACTGTCCAGACTCGAAATAGCAATGTCTTCTACCCCCTTAAATTCAACGCCATGCTGCGAGCAGTGCGATACACCCCGAACATACGATCAGTTCATCGCAAACCATACGACTAGCAAGCCACTAGGACTGTTCGAAGCGCACCACCTATGTGCCATCTGCCAATTACCCTACGGCAGCGAGAATCTCGCCTTCGAGATGCTCGACATGCCCCTAGAAATCACGAATATCTTGGGCTGCAGACACGTCTTCGGATCTGCTTGCGTCAAACAAATGAGTTGGGATAACATAGATGGGCGCCACCAGTGCTGTCCACTCTGCCGAACAGAATGGTGGCTAGAACCAGATCCCTTGAACTGCGATATAACCGACGCTATCAAACACAGGAGATCCGAGAACATAGCCAGAGACTTTCAAACCGACTATGGCACAGCTAGGCATCTTCTGTACAACGAGCCTGAGTATGCTGATTCGTATGTGCCGTTCGGACTCGAAGAGCTGTGGTCGAAGCTCAACCTCACCCGTATGATAGGCAGTGCTTTGGCCACGGAAGCGATACAGAAGCGTATACAAAAACTGCAACAAGGGCGCATCATTTCCATAGCTGAGATCGCCTACCACCCAAAGAAGGTCCTGGAGGGAAATTTAATGGTTGATCCTTTTACATTCAACAACTATCATCTACCGGTAAACAGTATGAAACATGCTATCCTCGGGACGCTGGGGTCGATGTGAGGTTCTCGGCTCTGGCAGATGTATAGAGATGTGGTGCCTCAAATGAACGGGGTTAGAGATGAGTCCTGTTTGGTAGCTATCGAGGATGAGTGGATGAAAATGTTTCTAGACGATCAAAGAGATTGGGTTGGACTGGTACTCAATATTCTCTGGATAGTGGATCTGGTCACTCTAGAAGAAGACGCTTCAGAGGACACGTCACAGGAAGCTTGAGTGAGATTTGAGGATATCGCAGCGTAGGAAATAGGTTGCCAATTATCATTGTGTGTATATATGAGCAGTTCTTTGAGACAGTAACCTGGTCGCGATAATAGCGGGCGCTGAAAGTCTGTAGTAGCAGCCCCGAGGAAGAGCATAGAGAACTAGCGCCGGAACATGCCGCCCGAAGTCTTGGCAAAGGACACGCTTACGTCTGTGTCGGCGCAGCGTTGACAGCTCCGCGTTCACTCTTTCCGAATCAGCAAAGATGAGGGTTCTCCAAGGTTTTGTTTCTTCCCTCTTACTCTCGGGCGCGGCCATTGTGTCTGCAGCTTCTTCCTGGAGCTTTGAAGATGCTACCGTGACTGTTTCCAGCAAAGGTGCTGGTGTTGGCGGAGGTTCAAAGGACAAGTGAGCTCAAGCTTGCATTGGGTGCAATGGTGCAGGACTGACCATCATACAGACTGAGTCCCTCGACACCGCTGGGTAAATCTGTATCTTTGGGCGCGACCGATACGTTGAAGCTTGTCCTCACAACCCTCGACGGAAGCACTGCGAAGCGACCTCATCAGGCGTTCCTTACTCTGACTGAGCCGACGACGGGCTTGGAGGAGTCCTTTGTGTTCAATGCGAAGGACAGTGGCAAGGCAAAGGTGGATTTGGTATGTTGTACGTGCCAATGGCTGGCAGCACAGCTAACATGTCCAGTCTCACAAAGACCTACCCCACCAATTCTTGACCTCTGAGAAGCCTATCGTCGCATCGATTGTCATCGGATCGTTTGGGTCTTCCGCACCATACAAGAGCAGAGCGTTCGATCTCGCCGTTACCCGCGACCCTAGCGTCCCCCTCAGCGTCCCTGCGCCGCCCGTCCGCTACGCCGCCGAGGCTGAGATTCACCACATCTTCCGCGATGACCCCAAGTCTCCACCCAAGATCATAACGATTGTCTTCGCGGCTGCTGTTGCTGCTGCGCTACCTATCCTGCTTGGCGCGTGGGCTATGCTGGGCGCAAATGCTAATCATCTTAGCAAGGCGCTTGGCAATGCACCTGTCTCGCATGGCCTCTTCTATGGCTCCATACTGGCCATGGAGGGCATTTTCTTCCTATACTACACTAGCTGGAACCTCTTCCAGACTTTGCCAGCGGCAGCTGTCGTAGGAGCTGTTGCCTTCTTGAGCGGTAGCCGGGCCCTGTCGGAGGTTCAAGAGCGGAGACTCGCTGGAGAGAGATGAACAAAGCTCAAAACTCGGTCTGATCATGTACGTTGGATGTATAAAACTTAGATGCAAGAGGAAACGCCAGAAGGAGACGTCACTCTGAGGTATGAGAGAAGGCAATATTGCGAGTACTACCACAGAAAAGCATAAATGTGGAGTAGTATGCTTAAAACTTATAGGCTGTGGCTTCACTGCGATTGCAATCAGTCCACGCATAACTGACAAACTCGTATTCACATCTGTTCCCTGTGTTTCCCCCACTCTCTGCGTGCTCGAATAAAGCTTTGTCTCGACTAAAGGGTAAGCGTATACTGAGTACGATTGGCTACCCAGATATGTCCAGTGCTTTCTGAATGCAGCCTCCTCGTCACAGCGCTGCTTGGGGAAGGCGCAGCTCGACGCAGCTTCAAATTGCATCTCCCCACCATCATCATCCAGTCAACACTCATCTTTCCCCAAGTCTACGTTCCTGACACCTTCACTCGTGCAATGTTTTAACTTCATATTATGAGATACTTGAGTAACTATCAACAGTCTGAAAGAACACTAAAACGATCGAGGCGCAAGGCTGGCGCAATACGTCGGTCTCACTTCTCGCAGACAACATCCGGGCAGATAATACATCCTCCCCTGGTCAAGACCAGAGTAGGATTATGGATTGGTTTCAAAAAGAAGAAATTTTACTTTTAAGAAACTATTTTAGCGTAAAGTAGACATTCTGCTAATATCAGAAGAAACAAGCCCCTACTAGTAGTTACATAGTTGTTAGCATATGCGGGTTTTCTGCAAGTGTAGGCGCTACCTAGGATAGAGGAGAGTCTAGTAAAGAGAGATTACTAATAAGAAGTTACAATCAGCATATTAGCTAAATCCGCACACTAAGCATGCGAATACTGAAAGGAAAAGCTTCCGATTTGGAAGGAAAAACCACAAATATCACTATACCACATTGCTTTGAACTCTTTGGGTAGACTCACTCTTTATAGTCCCGCTAAGAATGGTTGAAAAAGCTCTATTGACTATCTCGAACTCAGGGCCGAGGTCTTTGCTTTCTAAATCCAGTTCAGTAAACCATCGGCATTCTCTCGTCCTACAATACCCTCTTCAACCATCTGATCCAACACCTTCGGCACCTCTGCACTCCTCCCCTTCCAAGTCTCTCTCGACATTTCTGAGCCACTCGCCACCGTCTTCAATATCTCTGCTACAACTGCCTTGGCATCTGCCGTGCTCCGCACTCCAGTCGCACCAGCTTTCTCTGCGTAGCTTCTACCTCCTCGATAGAAGACGCCAGCATTGGTAACCAGAGTTGATCCGCTCTTCGCCCAAGCAGGCTTCGCGTTTTCGAAGAGCGAGATCCGAAAGCGGAAGAGATCGGTATCACCTCTCGCTATGAAGACATCGGCCAGTCGCGATGCGGATAGGATGGAGGTGTACGGTGTAGCGGATAGCTTTGTGAGTAGATTTTGGGTCTGCGTGAGAGCTGTCCATTGGGTATCGATATCTGTGCTGAAAGTGGGTGCTGATGGAATGTATTGAGTGCCATCCGCAAGTGCTGAAGCGAGATCCATGAGAGCGTCAGCATAGGCGGACTGAACGTTGGTTGATGCGAGATCAGGACTTGAACGTTGTCCGGCGTTCTGTACCATGTCGCTGAAAATTTGCTCCACGGTTTCTGCATATTCTGTCGATGTCGTTCTGCCACTACGGTATTGTACTTCCGCTACGCTGGCCTGGAAACTGGCAGACGCGAGGATAGCGTCATCTTTGGGTGTTGTTGTAGCTTCTTCTGATGTAGAACCTATCGAAAGTGTTGGGCCTGCTTTGGGCTCATCGATAGCTTTCGGGGCTGGTGACTTGTCAATAAGGTCTATGAGCGTCGGAATTTTGTTCGTCGCTGTATCTATTCCATCTTGGGCTTTCTTCTCTATGTTTGGTAGGTCTGTAGCGGAGTTATACAGTCCTAGTAATGTTGTCAATGCACTAAGTTGCGCCGTGCATGTTTCCAAAATGCTTTCTGGTGTCAGCGGCTCTTCAACAGTGGCCCAATCGCCTGGGGCCTCCGAACTCCCCGAATCGGTCTCCGTGTCTTCTTCCTGCGTTTCTGCTGGCTGTTGTCGCTCACCTTCCCAGACCTCCTGGTACTCACCGGATGCTTGGATCTTGGCAATTTCGGCTTGCATCTGAGAATACTCTTGCTGTTGGTTTTCCAAACACTTGGTAAAGATTTCAACCGCTTCCTCGAGTAATGGTCTTGCATCATGCTTTGCGGTAGCTTGCGGGCTAGCTTCCAGACCGGCTTCCGCTAGTGAGGTGAGCACCTGCGCAGCGTTGAAGAGGATGTCGGTGTTCGTTGGATTTAGTGAGATGGCAAAGCGATGCGACATCAAGGTCTCCTCTAGCAAGGCAATCCTATTTCCAAAACGTGAGACAATACGCTCATCTTCGGAAATGGTGTACTGGAGATTTGCTCTAGTCTTATTAGCATTAAGCATACAATTAGATGAAAAACGCCTTACTTATTGTAGGCAAGGTCGAATGAATGAGGATGACGCTTTAAGCCTTCATTGTAGGCGTCAATCGCTCGGTTGAAGAAGCGAACGGCTTTCGCGGCGTCACCTGCGCGCCATTTCCCTGCCGCTTGCTCGAATTCATCTGCAGCCTCGAGAAAGTCATTCTCGGTCTCTGGCTCCGGCGGCTTTACCTTGCCCTTAGGCTTCGGCTTCAGAAATTTCTTCGGTGGCATAGTGATGGTTGGACGTAATAAAGAGGTTGATGTAGTGCGGGCCGTATTAATAGCTAGGTATACGTTGGTAATCGACGTCTAAGTGGCAAATTTGCGCAAGTGCGACAAAACGGTTTCTCAGCAAATGGATATTGCGCGGAACACAATTCTCAATCAAGCGACCTCGACAGGACTATGCCTATTGCCATATCACTAGGTCGCCAGCTTTCTGCTGCACCAAATCTTCCCGATCGCCCCGCCCCCACTTGCCCGAGCCTCACGAACCTCGATGCTTCCACAATCTTCACCTCAACTTCTCCACGTTGAATTCATCCCACAGCAAGGTCTTGTCTACCAGAAATCCATTGTCGTCAAACACCACCCCCTCGTCTTTTAGCAGCTGCAATTTCGAGTTTTGGTTCTGTCCGCTGGGGGCTTTCTCCCAGTCACCCTTGTATCCGCCAACGAACTGTCAATATTAGTGTCGACGCTCGCATACTGGAGCAAGCATACGTACACCAGTACTGGCGATACATCGATGACATGGCACCTCTGGACAAAACGGATTGACACGCAGTGCGCCGCCTACCGCACGAGGAGAGCTGTTCAAGGCCTTTGACATGGCGGCGTAGGTCGTGACGCGTCCTTCCGGAATCATCTGGAGGGCTGTATAGACGCGCTCTTGATATGGCGTAACCTTTTGCTGCTTGGACATGTTGAGGATGCGATGCAGTTGCATTGACGCGTCTTCGGGACGTTTTACGTTGGCGCGCTCTCACGTGGTGTGCTTTCAGATTGACCACTCACAGACCAGAGTCACATGAGCTACCCGAATCGGATGTTTTGCAGCAAAAGAAAATCACTGAAGACACAGCAAGGACAGAACATGAAAAAACAACAAGATCGCTATAAAATCGGGAATCTTGCCCCAAGCGGTGCTCTCAATAACTCGTACGAATACACACGAGTGTTGACCAGGAAAAGTCAAAGACTGATTGGAGTACTGCGTAACAAATCCTTCAAAAGGATATGAGACTCCGTACAAAGATACCAAGTGAACTTCAAGGAGCGGTACTCCGGCGCATACGCTTGGCTGCCACCCCTGAGATCGCCATCAATGCTGCGACCAAGAAGTGACCAGTCCTACCTGGACTTCAGGCACCTCGCAGGACTTGCGGTTCTGAAGATATACATTATCCACGCAACGACTCTCTCCGCTATCGGGACCTTTTGCCATTGTGATGGGCATGAGAACAAAAGAATATACACTCGACCGCACGATCGGCCTTCTTACTTCGCACAACACACTTCAAAAGGATACACGTCCGACGAACTGCAGCTAGCAACATAATGAGGCGTCATTCCTGGCAACCACACTCGATGACTGCCCTATAGTCTCACAGATGTCTCAGGTCGGCTTGACCACCAGCGCGGTCCAGCGTCTTTAGGTTTGGCACTAAACAGTCATCATCAATTCCGCACGGTCACCTCGCAACGACTTGCTCTGATCTGGTACCGCAGCGGGCCGAGCTCCACCAGAGCTCACAGGGCTGTATAGCACTTACGTCTGGTGATTCGTAGACACTGAAGTAGTCGCGCCGTGCCGCCCTCCCTTATCCTTCTTGCTCCGTTTGACTAACGGGTACGATCAAAGCATGAACCTGGACAGGGTCGTTATGGCCCCGCAGTGTTCAGTCTTTTACAAACACATACTGTCAACGATGTATGTCATATCTGTGATATCTACGTCGGCGGCTACCAACATCCAGCGGTTAGATTGCATGCAACCAGCAGTCTAAAAGACTAGGTCGATTCTAGATGCAAGGCATCTCAACACAACGGCTAGTAACGTCAGAATGTGTCCGGCACGCAGACGGTTGCTTTTGGGAAAGAGTCTAGACTGGATGACGATGAGGAGTATGGAAAAATACGACTCTCTCGAGGTTCCATCAAGAAAACTTTGACAGTCCTCCAAACGAAATGGACCGTACTCTGGCATTGTGCTGATCATAATCATCGCAAATTCAGAACGGTCAAGCTTCGCATCGCAATCATCAATAGGTAAGAGGTGTTTGCTGATGAGACCTCTGACCCCCCTGCATGTAGACGCGTTCAGTGTCAGCGTGATATGCCGATTTTGACATCTCATTGGCGATCTCCCTTCACTAGACTCTCCTCTATCCTAGGTGGCGCCCACACTTGCAGAAAACCCGCATGAGCTAACGACCACGTGATTACTAGTAGGGGCTTATTTCTTCTCATATTAGCAGAGCACGAATGAGCGTGCAAAACCAGGATCAGCTGGTGTGGAGGATTAAGCGCGGCTCTGACGGTGGAGGGCACTATTGAGAGACCGGCCCTCCAGCCGACTCGTGAGTGAGACCGTTGAGATTAGCAGAAAGGAATATTTTCACCGTCGTGAACGAAGGACATGTTGGAATGTTCCTGATGAGTCGCGACTGGCGAGGCTTTTGATGCGTTGTCAACGTGGCGAGGCCGATCAAGCGCTCAGCCTCAAACTAACCTGAAAAGAGCCGAGGTGATGCACTTAGCCACACTTCAGCTTGCTGAAGACGGACCTTCCGGCTCGACGGCATAATCCCACAACCCAAGAAGCGAACCTGCAGGATTTTCGTCAATGCATGAAGATGGTCACGAGAATAGCAACAGGAGTTGCAGGAACCGTTGGTCGTGCCTCGCGAAAATCGCTCAGAGAAGCATGACTCTTCTGCATGGGCAGGCCGCCTGTTGCCCTGCGGGTCCTGATTGAACAGTCAGACAACCCTCGACTGTGAAGGCTTCTCAACGAATGTGCTTTCTGGCCTGTTCAAGACAGGTGCATGCGAGCCCTGAGTGCCTGTATCGGTCCTTCTCGAGTGCGATGGAGTATCCGATGGCTGATCATCGCGTGCTTTGAACGGCTGAATGCACTCGGGGGGAACACTGGTGTAGCTGGACGCATGTGTTTGCAAACGAGTGTCGTCGCGACTTGACGACTGCATTTGTAGGCCACTCGCTAAGTCTTCAACTTCAGCTCTCTATCATGCCAGCCCTGTCACGAGACGAGTGTGAAAAATTGATAGCCAACACGAGGCTTTTGGCAAGGGTTGCTGAGCATCTGAAACGGCATCAAGTTGGTGGGTAAACGACGGGTAAGGGCAACCTGATAGCCAATTGGGCATTCCGCTTGGCTGGTGCGCTCCAGGTCTGTCTACGAATCGTCACCCACCATGGCCGTTCAGCAACTCAACTGGCTGCCCCCAACCTTCAAGCCAAAGACCTCCACCCGCCTATCCAGGCGCAAGCGCCCGTAATAGCCCACCATGTCTCCGTGCCGGATCAGCCCAACTTTGCAAGGCCGCCGACGCCGGTTCTTTGCAAGAATAAGTCTGCGCGTATTGAATGCGTCCGTCGCGACGTTATACATATGCAAGCCTACGCACCCCGCAACCGCAACAAGCCTCAAAACGCTCCTAACCAACAGATCGCACCGTTGAGCTTACCAGATTCACTATACTATCGCATCAGCCAGGACTGCTTCATTTGCGCATCTGGACTGGTCCTCCGCTTTCAAGACGGCTCATCCGCGAAAGCCCCACTGAGGCGACTCACGGTGGAAGCCCCGCGCTTGGACGGTTGACCCTGAGGGAAGAATAGACGGGACGCGTGAGCAAGCTCGAGTATAATATCACTCGTCGTCTCGTTGCTCCCTGTACGCGTCGTTGTCGATTTTCCTGGTCCTAACTGCGATATCCCTGCACAGCCCCAGCTCGGGCTTTGCCGCTGCGCCACACCCATCTACGATCCTCGGGCCCGCCGATAGATGTGGCACACGAGAAAGAGTCTGAAGACCTCACCGTAACTCTGCACGGGGAAGTAGGACTGCATGTACTTTGTGGCTGGATGACTTATATTGATGGACTTGCAATCTCACGTCTTTGTAATATTCCGAATCGCCACCCCCGTCCCGTTATTCTAGTCTTCCCGCCATCAGCCGCTCGCACCGTCAATTCGCTTCACGGCTTCCCGAGCTGAACCAGCTGACAGTTCCGGATTTTCGACTTTCTGGTACCCTGCGTTCAAGTTACTCAATTCAAGAGTCTTACAGGTGGAGAAGCACATGCTTTCATGAGTCTCTCGGCGCACACAGGGTTCCGTTGTACATCAATCCGGGCTACACAGGGTTACCCGAAATGGCTTCCTATAAGTCACAATACCCTCCACCTAGGAGGACGGAGGACCGGGTGCCTACTACTCGGTTGCCTCAACGATCTATTACTCCTACCACTATCACCACAATCACATCCAACCCACCTACATCAAGCCAGTCTAAGCTGCAAAAGAGAAGGCCTTCAAGGGATGATGAGTTAAGCTCAAGAGGTCATACAGGTCAACAAGGCTCTACGCAAGCAGCCAGCTCTCGTCCAAGGAAGACCAGCCGATCTACACCTATGTTTCCTCAACACTCAAGTGTCACAACCTCGAAACCTTCGCCACAGATCTCGACCTCAAGATTACCCAAGCTTGAAGTTCCTCTCGGTATACGTACGCCTTCGCTCGCCTCGGGCTCATCCGCGTCGACCATTGAAAGCCCTCGCTCGAATGTACTCAGGAGAAAACAAACAAGTGTTGGAGCCGCAAGTGGTCGGCAAGCCACGCGGATAAGAGACGACTCTATATCGTCCCAAGATGGCAGGCAGTTGATGGAGGGCATACCTGGAGGATATAAAGATCCTTTCTCGGAGACAGTCCTGGGAATCTCTTTACCCCCATCTTCGAATATCCTAGCTCGTTCAGAAGGACAAATCGACTCGTACAGTAACCTGCTCTATGATTATGAGATTGGCCCTACAGACATACTTCCCCTCCCAACACCGCAGTACGCTCTCTCTGCAACACCCTCGACTCGATACTCAGATTCACCTGGACCTTTCAGTGTATCATCCACTCCTACGTCGATGTCGTCCTACTCGCCGGGGACAACATTATCCAGAGCCTCAAACCGAACTCGGCAAGCCAGTCCACTTCAGAGCAGGCCACCAGTCACTCGGCACAAGACTCCAGATGAAACTAACACCCGTCACCCTCACACACTTTCTACCGTCAGGGAATCCTCCACCTCGTCATCATCCGCGTCTACCGTTGTTACGGATGTAGCGAAGCACAAAGATGTCCAGTCCCCTAACGGTCTCGCCACCTTACCCCAAAGTCCTCGAGTATCTGAAGTTATATGTAGCGCAGAAGAGAAATCTCGTATCCAGGCACCCCCGGAGTTTGCTCATCTTGCTGATCAGTCGCCTGCACCGGTACCGACTGCAAGGCGACCTTCGAGACCTAGTAGAGATGGTACTCCTGAACTATCTGGACTCCGCGGTCCATCACCAATAATCCAAAGCAATATGCTCAACTTTCCGTCTCAACACAAAAGGACTCCCTCGTCTGAATCTAAAACTGGTCTCACTTATGCGAGATCTAAAAGCAATACATCAGCCAAACCTTCATCACGAAACCCTTCGCCAAATCCCGCTTCGGCATTGCCGTCAGCTACCAGAGCACAAGTTCGTGGACCGACACCTGATTTCCAGCATGATCGAAAGCCACGAAGGACCAGTACCGGACCGGCACCAGCGCCCGCTCCTGCTCCAAGCCCGAGTAAGACCTCTAGATTCGGGTTCTTCACGCGTCGTACCAAGACTGAGCCTACCCCAGTAGCGAAGTCTGAGAGCAAGCTTCACAGAAGAGGACCAGCTGCCGGTACTGGCCACGAAGGCTATGGAAGATATGCAGTCAGAGGTCGCAGTGGAAGCTCAGTCAGTACCAACAGCATCGGACGATCCGCTAGCGCTGGAACTACCTCTGAGAGCCTGGACAAAACACCCTCAACTCGCAAAAGCAGTATGACTAGCACAACAAGCGGGGAGGTGGATGACTTTTTCCTCAATCGCCTCGCTCCTGTCGTTATTCGAGGTACGGGGACTAGCTCGGAACTCTCAAGAAGCCCAGAACCAATGCAATCTAGCAGCAGCCTGGATGTCTCCATCAATCAAGGATTCGAACTAAATAAGACTATGAGCAACTCATCACAATCGGTATTGGAGAAGAATCGGCCAACACTGTTACCGTCCGCGATGCCAGACAATGTACGCAATGGATCTCCCATGAAAAAGATGACTCTAGGACTGCGGAGGCCCTCTGAGAGCGACGATGATACAAAGAGATCATTCTTACCTGCCATGGCCTCAAAGCGGACATCACGGGCTTTGCAAACTGCCCAGGGCCCTAGTGTACCATCAGGCTCGACAAGTCGGATCGCTGGAAAGGTTCGTAAGAACTCTATAAGCGAAGCTGCCGCTGAGATCAAGGAGGGTAGCTGGTTGAAGTCCTCAAAGAAGACCAAAGCTGAGAAGGAAGCCCCCAAGCCTTCGAAACGATGGAACTTCTTCCAAAGGGCCCATGCCGGACCTCGCACAGCGACACCAGCGGCTCCTGCTGTCAGTCCCGTGAATCAAGCGACTGCTTCCCGCTCCGTTGCGCATTACGCATTGATGGACCAGTCTGGTCTTGAGCTAGACGACATCGAGCAACTAATGCAGGAAGTTGACGAGGGAACCGAGAGCGCTCTCTCTGACGATGAACCAGGAAGAAGAGAGCGAATGCAGTCTATGCTGCTTCCGCCCAAAGCAGTGATGCCGTCTAGCTCTGCAGCAGCTGTACGCTCAACTTCGCCTAAGGTCTTTCTGCGCTCAGAAGCACAATCACAGCCGGAACATCAACAAACTAAACTGAGTATTAATACAAGTTTCCGAGCGTTATCCCGAAATTCGGAACGTTACTCGCTGGCAGATTTGACTCCGGTCACGGATCTCTCTCGACCCTCATCACCTTTTGGTGAGCCATCGCCAGTTCGTGACGAAGATCCTGCGCCACCTCTCGAAGCAGTAGCTCCCTCGCGGCCTGAGCCTGAGTTCGCTCCCGAGGTACCTGCTCAAGATGAGTTCGTACTTCCTCAGGATCTCCCATCGCCCGGTCCACCGCCTATGAGCCCACCGCCTCGCCCAAGTCGCTTGGCTCAGGTTGGGCGTATTCCTCAGGTCGTCTCAAGTCGTCGTCAGCCACACCAGCCGTCTTCACAGTCATTCTCTCGACCCTTTGTATCGAATCAACCTCGTCCGGCAGCTCCCTCCCGGACGTCTTTTGACTCAATTGGTTCCGTTGTTGCCTCTGCCGGTCCAGTAGAGCCATACCCTATTCTGCATGGCTTGAACGCCCTCAATCATGGGTCGGCTATAGCTACAATCAGTCCTATGGAGGACGAAGCCAACCGTCGAAGCGAATTCTTCAAGTTTCCACCTCGCAAAGATTCTGAAGTATCATACTCGAGTAGCTCAGGCATCTGGAGCTTCGCCCCCGCTATTGGTACCGCTGTCGTGCCAAGTCCCAGCGCCCCGCTGTCAGAAGATGAACTTTGGAACGAGTATGACGATCTGATTGACGAAGTGCTTTCGCCCGTCACCTCTCGCACGAATGAAGACAAAAATAGCCTTCGCAGCCACCCGTCGCTCGAACCAATGCCCCTTCGACCTAAGGCACCGCGTAACGTTTCAGCATCAGAAAACGACGATGAGGTTACGAACCCCTCACTTCATCTTCGTCGCTCTCGCCTACTGGCTGTTCTGCATTCCACGCAGTCTCCTACTTCGTCGATCTCTTTCTCAGAATTCATCTCAGACTACGGCGAACGGAAGATCAGTGTTATTGACCCTGTTACCGGGAGGTTGAGCTTGCCTTCCAGTCCTCAGCTATCGACTGGTACTGCCACAAAACGTTCGACTCGTTCCAGTTTACCAGCTTCGTTGTCGCAGACCGCCCGACAATCCAAAGTCACTATTGCGTCGAAGTCGAGCAAAGATCGTGAAAGTATCGCAACAAACCGATACAGAGACACGCACCTAATGGATATTGCCGAAAGTCAAAATGATGGACTCTTGTCTATGGCCAATCTTCGCTTCGGTGCCCTCATGACGAGCAAGTGGCTCTCATTTGGTCGTGTCCTATTCAGCCCCGTACACTTCGAGTTGAAAGACCAGAACGAGGATCGCGTACTTGTCATTGATGGTCTTGGCAAGGACTGGTCGTACTATTGCGCTCTCACTTACCCTGAGGCGACTGTGTATGACATGGGCCCTGATCCATCAACAAGTACGTCATCCGAGGGTGCGTCTGAACCATGGTCAACATTGAACAACCACCGCCACATCTGTCACCCCTCCCTCGGCAAAGCATTCCCGTTCCCCATGCACTTCTTTGCTTGCGTCGTGCTTCGCTTCCCAACTGCACTTCCTTCGTCAGAGCACCGCTTCATCTTGTCTGAGGCCAAGCGCGTCCTGAGACCCGGCGGCTACCTTGAATTTAGTGTTCTTGACATGGACTTGGTCAATATGGGCAACCGTGCCCGTCGTGCTGTCCGCGGCTTGAAGATGAGAATGCAAGTAGCGGACGACAGCATATCGCTTCGAAACATCAGTGACGAGGTCATGGCCGGTATTGGACGCAAAGGCTTTGTCGACTGTAATCGCTGTGTTGTTGGCGTTCCAGTTGCCGGCAAACTCCCCAGCCTCGACGACGTCAAGCGTACAACTACGAAGAGGAAGGGCAGCACAGCAAGCTCTGCCAGCAACACAAACAAGACTATGCCTCTGCCCAAAGGACCAAAACCGGGATTGTCCTTCTCTGACCTTCTCAATGCCTCTGCGTCCTCCGATTCGACCGACAACGGCATCACCGACATGGTGGCGCGCGTAGGTCGTTGGTGGTACTCACGCTGCTACGAGTCGCTTGTCCTCCCTGAGGCTGGCGAACCTGGTGCCGCTGCTTCCGGTAACCTCCTTGAGACTAGCATCTGGCGCGACGAAAGCCTCATCAACGAGTGCGAAAAGCGCGGGACGAGCTTCAAACTCCTCATTGGCTATGCGAAGAAGCCTGAGGTTGGTGTTCGACGAACCGTCAGCGTCTAAACATCTTTTTCGATTCTCCTGAGCTGTGCTCCCAAATCCCAGTGGGTTGTTTCCTTCACTACTGCTCGTAATGAGTCTTTGTTTTCTTCGGTTTCATTGGCGTTCTGCTGCGTTCAAGCGTTTGATTTCCCTTATACCCTCGTTCTGTTCTTCTTTCACTCAACTGCATAGCAAATGGCGGCTTAGCATTACAACTACTACTCAGAACGGCGCAAGCCTGGAAGCATTATCACGACCACGACACGTACAAACATCTATGTAATATCTTCTTCGACCTGGTTGATAGATGCTGGCATTGGACAACATTTGGGACGATTTGAAATTTAAGGGTAGTTTGATGGAAATAATACCCGGGGATGTAGATATGATACGAAGCGCTATGTAGATACGAATCACGGTCGCTGATCGATACGAAGAATGAACATAATCTATTCCGAAACTTCTGAGCGCAAACCCTAATAAATCAAGATGGTGAAAGAACTTACAGGCCGCCCTTTACTACGGGTTCCAGGTGCCAAGACCGCCAATCCCAATGCCTACAAGCGTCCCGTGCTTAAATCACTTTCATCAACCAATCACTTCCACCATCTGCAAGCACCTTTTCGCTTTCACCTCGCCCTTCATTCCCCTGCTAGCACTCTGCAGTCGCCCAGATCCGGATCACTATTTCCTTGAAAGAGTTGGAACGCAAGCGAAAGAAGTAGGAATCACGAGCAAAGATGAATCAAAACTTCCAGGGCGCGCCTGATCGGGAAGATATCAGGCTGTTGGATCAGCTTCGTAGTCAATTGATGCCGATGATCAAGACTATGGATCGATTGCAGGCGGAGATGCAGTTTAAGATGAGCCGCGGAGAAGCCGTAGATTGGTAAGTGAGAAGCGGAAAGCGGCGATGTTTACGTTTAGGTGCGGTTATGTTTGCCATGCAGCCTTGTTTTGTGCACGCGTCTTCTGGTGTCATCGTGACTAGATATGTCTCCTCGATGTTCATGACGGTATTTGTGCCGATTCCATAGTCTCTATAAGCGTGCCTAAGATGCGCCGCTCTGATGGTTTCCTATTTCACTGGACACAAGCTAAAGAGACGCCAGGCCACAAATTCACCGAACGACACAGCTGGTAACATCTTACCTAAATTCGATACATCTTCTTATAAACGGCGGCTACCGTCATCAATCCAAACTCATCACCCAGAAACACCACGTCCCTTCAAAGGACGCCGCTGGTAACCCTGTGGTAGACAGCGCCGGCAATGCGGTCCTCGTTGAGCGCGACGTCCGCCGGAGAATGACCAGCATACAGGCCTTACACCCCAACACAGCAAAGTTCGAGGCTCTTCATCCGTTTCCTAACCCTTCATTTCCAATGAACGCTGGTGGCGGCATGGCGGCGGGTATGGCAGGTACCTTGCTACGAAAGAGGCTAGAGCCCATGGAAGAGGGCTGGGTAGAAGAACGTATCCGCAAAGCATCAGAATGGTGTTTCGTGCCTGAAGAATGGGGCATTGGTCCTCGGAAGCCTGACGCAACAGGTGCGACAAAGCAAGACGCAACCGAAGACGAAGACGACGAAGATCAAGTCCCAGAGTCGGAACGTCTCGACTCGGAAGCTATACCGACTACCCGGGTCAAGAACCCACTATCTGCAGACGAGATTGTCGATTTATGGAAACATGCGCATCAGGAAGTCTTTGACCAAAAGTATCTGAGGCAGAAATACCCAACTAGTTACCCTGATCCAGGTGCTCAGGACGCGGGTGAAGGCGAGGAAGAGGAGGAAGAAGGCGACGAGGAGGAAGAAGAAGAAGAGGAAGAGGAGTTTGAGGATGTCATGGATACTTCTGGTGGGGCGGAAACAGCAGGACAGGATGGGGTAAAAGCAAAGATGGTGAAGAAAAAGGTTACAGTAGGGAAGCTGCCGGTACATGAGCCGGTGGATGGTGTACCGGTGCTTTCGCTTGGGTTTGCGCACAAGTTCTCGGAAATCGGTGAGGTGTAGATGAGGGTTGGAGCAGTTTTGATATCACACGACTGAGGTTTATGCAAGCATGGTAATTGAGTCGATTCATCTTAAATCTTCTGGGGTATCATAGTTCCTGCGCCTGACACCCTAACTCACGAACAGCAGGACTGCCTATGCACCTACTCGGGTCTGAGTGCGTACATCCTAACGGGGAATAGTTCCCTGGGCATTCCTCTTTGTTGCTCCGTTGCTACAATCTTCAGCCCCGCCTCTTGGAACAAGGCTCTGAACTTTTTGTCTGACCGCGTGACGCTCGAGTCCTCATCGTCGTAGATGTCCTTGTGGTGGATGTCGGTAGACATGTTCTCCTTGACTACGACCCAGCTCTTGCTTGTCGCATCTCCTTGGGCCGCCTTCTTCAAGCCCTCGCTACAACGGCGTAGGTAGACAACGAGTTGGGCGTCGGTCAAGTGTCCCACACACCACTGGTTCCAAATCACGTCGTACGCGCCGGGCTCAGGTATCCAGTCCTGCAAGCCTAGGTTTATGACGTCGCCCACCTGGCCCTTTCCATCTTTGCTCTCTCCGTCACCGGCGTATTCTCCGTTTCCGAGGCTCTGCACCAACTCGTCTGTGAACTTCTTCACCGGCTCTACGATGTCCACCTTGTTGCTCACACCCAGCAGCAGGCCCTTTGTTATTCGTCCGATACCCGCACCGCAGTCTACTACACGTTGCAGAGGCTGCAGGGGTTCTTTTGAGGCCTGGGATTTGCCACGGCGCAATTTGGTCAGGAAGTTGGAAGAACCCTGCAGGTCGATGCGCGAGGTTTGAGGAAAGCCGCCCAGCATGCCATTGACGTCTGGCGAGACGCTGTTCCAGTATTCGAGCGAGTGGGCAACGTCTATCGAGGCATCGGGGCGTTCGGCGTCGGGAGTCACCAGGGGCGGCTCTTCGGCCAAGTCCATTGTGGGGTCTGAAAGGGCGAGAGGGAGCTTGGAGAGAATCTGCGGAAGTCTGAGTAAGTGTGCTTGGTTGTGGGGACGAGTCTCGGTGCGAGCGTCTCGCGACATTGTGTGACCAACTTGAGTTTGGGCCGGTGCGTGGCAGCCAAAGACGTCAATTTGCGCAGGGCGGGAATAACAAGCTGTTGGATGCGCGCGTCGAGCTTCTCATCGTGGTGGGGTGGGGTAGCTACAGGGCTGGTTGTAGCCGACTGTTGACGCCGACGCGTCGCGACTATCCGCTACGCCTGCTCACATGATGGCGCCTGCCCCTCAACCTTCCGCCATGGCCAGGCATGTCGCGTCTCTAGGCTTGCGTGATGAGTAATTCAAACCGCCGCGATGCTGTCGATAGGCGTGTACAAAGTGGAGTTGCAACAGTCGGAACAGGCAGTTGCATGCGGATAAGCTAACTAGCTATGGGCATTTGGCGGGCACACGCGGGGTCCACACTATCAATCGAAGCTACCATTGTCCCCGCGGTCGTCATCAGCATCTTACATGTCCGCAGCCTATAGATAGCGAGCTGTCTCCTCGCCAGCCAAGGACATGTCCTGTCTCTTCTCTGCCCTCACACGCGCCTCACTTCGCTCTAAACCATCTCCTCCTTTCAAACCCTCAATACGCAGAGCTCCCACTAGTAGTTGCCGTCCTTTGTGGAGATACTACAACACTCAAACCAGCATGTCTGACCTCTTCGTTGAGCTGACAGCGCCCAATGGTCGCAAGTACCAGCAGCCAAGAGGTCTTTTCATCAACAATGAATTCGTCAAGTCCAAGTCAGGTGAAACCATCACTTCCATAAACCCGAGGTACGCCTGTCCGTTTTCTCACTTGGAAGTGGTTGACATTAGGTAGCGATGAGAGCGATATTGTATCTGTATATGCGGCTGGGCCCGAAGATGTCGACGATGCCGTGGCAGCTGCACGGAAAGCCTTCAAGAACCCAGACTGGCGAGACATGGACACTAACGCGCGAGCTGACCTTCTCTACAAGTTTGCCCAGTTAATCGAGGAACACAAGGAAACGCTAGCGACAATTGAAACCTGGGACAACGGCAAGCCTTACTCCGTCTCACTGAATGACGACTTGGGCGAAGTTGTCGGTACTATCAAGTACTACGCAGGATACGCCAACAAGATTCACGGCACAGTCATTGACACCTCACCTGCCAAGCTGGCGTACACAGTCCGTGAACCACTTGGTGTCTGTGGCCAGATCATCCCGTACGTGATCATCCATGTCGAAAATATGCCCTGCTGATCATGGCCAGATGGAACTTCCCTCTTGCAATGGCGGCATGGAAGCTGGGACCTGCTCTCTGCACCGGCAACACGGTGGTTTTGAAGGCCGCTGAACAAACACCCCTTTCTATTCTGTATCTTGGAAACTTGGTCAAGGAAGCAGGCTTCCCTCCTGGCGTTATCAACTTCATCAACGGTGAAGGAAGGAAGGCTGGTGCCGCTTTGGCCCAGCATCTCGACGTCGACAAGATTGCCTTTACTGGATCCACCGCTACAGGGAAGGAGATTATGAAGATGGCAGCTGTCAACATGAAGAACATCACACTTGAAACGGGTGGCAAATCGCCACTAGTAGTGTTTGACGATGCAGATCTTGATCAAGCAGTCAAATGGAGTCACGTCGGTATCATGTAGGTCATCTTCTTTTTTTCTTTTTTCTAATAAGCTAAGCTGACACTGTGGAGGTACAACCAAGGCCAGGTTTGCACGGCAACTTCAAGAATTCTTGTGCAAGAAGGCATCTATGATAAATTCGTCGAAGCTTTCAAGGAGCACGTCAAGACCACCTCTGTGGTTGGCGACCCCTTCAAAGACGACACATTCCAGGGACCTCAGGTTACCAAGACGCAATTCGACCGCGTTCTGTCATACATTGAGTCTGGCAAGTCAGAGGGGGCCACTCTTGTAGCCGGCGGAGAAGCGTACAAGAACGTTGGCGGCAAGGGCTTCTTCGTCTCGCCTACCATCTTTACTAATGTCAAGGACAACATGAAGATCTACCGCGAAGAAGTGTTTGGTCCGTTCGTCGTCATCAGCTCGTTCAAGGAGGAAGACGAGGCGATTGAGCGTGCTAACGACACGACATATGGTCTTGGCGCAGCAGTCTTCACTGAGAACATCACCAAGGCTCATCGTGTTGCTAGGCGGATTGAAGCGGGTATGGTCTGGATCAACTCAAGCAACGATTCTGACATTCGCATCCCATTCGGAGGTGTAAAGCAGTCTGGTATCGGCCGAGAGCTGGGAGAGGCTGGACTCGAGGCATACACCAACAAGAAGGTACGTCGCACTAACACAGAGACATTCAGGGCCGGCTAACATAATGACTAGGCCATCCATGTCAACCTAGGAAACAAGCTGTAGTGGACATGTATACTACGCACAACCAAGATGCCAGTGACAAGCCTCGACACTGTGGCCAGGTGCTATGTGTGGAGTCTTGCAAGGACACCAAATGAGGTCACATGTGCACCCAAGATATCCGCCCTTGGCGCCACGGCTTGGGCTGTTGACGTGCTAAAGGAAGTGGAGAAGGCACAAGTCAATATGAATGCAAATGTCGGTGAAAAGTGTTTGTCGTAAAGCCATGGCTCTCCTGACACGTGTGACGTTCTGCAGGTACGCGCTCAATACCCCTTGGGCAGCGAGAGAAAATGTCGCAACGGCGGGATGTGGAAAGTGACCTTGGGCGCATGTGCAACAGTGTAGTCGCGCCGCCTAGCAGCGGAGCAAGAATGCTTGCGTAAGCTCTCGAAGGCGACTAGCGGAGAACAGGGCTCCGAGGAGCGTTGGAATTGCAAGTTTATTTATTCCCACAGCTTGGGCGAACTGCTGATAGTGGACCCATGATGTCGTTCGTGGGGTCAATGTGAGCGGCTCTCTGAACAGGATTGGCATTTTGCAGGTGTTTCCAGGGGCACGTGAAGGTGTGCAGCGGCGCGTGTACGCTGTCCATGGCAGCGTCTGTGATGTGTCGCTCAGGATGTGGTCGGATATACCGAAAAGAGGCGGTTCGCTTTGGGTGCCCAGTCGTCATCCTTGTCCTTATCTTGGCAGCCTGCTCTCTCCAACTTCGCTACTGTCTGCGGTGCACTCTCTCCACCGTGTCTGCCCCTCTCACGAGAATCACTCGAGCTGTTCCCTTGTTGCCGTCGCCACCGTCTTCTCGCAGTGCAGGTTGTGTACTGCCTCGACTTTGCGGTTGTCTGGGCTCCTGCTAGTTTGCCCTCGTCGATGCGCTAGTGGTGCTTCCAGCGCTGCTATTCACCGGTCCGCAGAGCCCGAACGACGCCAGCTCGCCCACCAGCGTCACTGCCCATGCCCTGGTTCTAACTAAGGTTTGCGGCTGACATCGCAACTAAATCCCCGCTCTGCTCGCGTAGAGGCTGATATCATCGCTACTACTACTACTACTACTACTACTACTATTATCACTACCACGACACCCAGTCCCATCAGCACAGCCACTGCCCACACATCGTGAGCCTGCCCAACCCGCCCACAGCCCGCACACCATCGACCTGGCGCGCACGCTGGAAGACGATCGCTCCCCCGTCGCCTCGCCCAGCCTCGCCTGCCAGTCTCTGAGGCAGATAACGACAGCGCCGACGGAGGCACGCTTCCTTGCTTTTCTCGCTCGCCTCTACCGACCGCCCTAACGCCCTCTCTACGCGTGGCCTACCTACCTTTTCTACACATCACCTGAGAGCGTGCTTGCACTTGGCATCGTCACTTCCGGGCATCTCTGGAAGGAACCAAGCGCACCATCGCCGCGTCTTTCACACACCAATAGACACCGCCGCTGTCGCTTTCCCACTGTATGGGAACAGACACGACTGCTCTCTTCCAAAACATACACACACATACTAGACTTGTATACACGCTCGCTCAGTTCACAGTCGCCATCATGGGCAACCAGCAATCGAGCGGCAAGGACAAGAAGGGCGAGAAGGGCGGTGCTGACGGCGTGCCCCTCGGTCGCGAGTACTATCGCTCCTTCGAGAGATCAGACACCAAGGACTCTACGCGCTCACTACGCAACTCGCTACGGAACAAAATACCAGGGACCGGCAAATCCGACAGTCCGCGCAACTCAGTCGCTGGTCTTAACGATGCCAACGGCAAAGCTGACAAGTCAGATGCAGCTTCCACCAAGTCGAGAGGTTCGCGGCGTGGCTCCGTCGCTTCAGCTTCAGCAACCGTGCCACCAGATGCGTCTCCAGATGTTGCTGATAAGGCTGATCAAGACCAAGACGAAGACGAACCGCAAGCGCCCCCTTCGCCTGTCCACGGTGCAACTCTCGGAACAGGACATGAAGGCGTGAGCAAGGCTCAGCGAACCGGTGAAGTCGACCACGTCTCTGACGTCCCTCCAACAGGAGCAGCACAGCCTTTGGCCTCTGCTCAGCCGGGAGAGTCAATTCTGCAGAGGAAGGACCAGCCGATACCCAGACTCCCGGAGCCCCCCGCGCCCACTGACGGTTCGGGCTCTCCCATGGAGCTCACCGCGCTCAAGACCATGGATCTCGACGATATGATTCAGCGACTCTTGGACGCAGCTTATGCCGGAAAGGTCACAAAGACAGTCAGCCTAAAGAACGCTGAGATATTCGCAATCTGCTCAGCCGCTCGAGAAGTCTTTCTCAGCCAGCCCGCGCTGCTTGAGCTCGCTCCACCTGTCAAGATCGTCGGCGACATCCACGGACAGTACACTGATTTGATCCGCATGTTCGAGATGTGCGGATTCCCACCAAATTCCAACTACCTGTTCCTAGGCGACTATGTAGATCGCGGCAAGCAAAGCTTGGAAACCATCCTACTCCTTCTCTGCTACAAGCTCAAGTTCCCCGAGAACTTCTTCCTCCTACGCGGCAACCACGAATGCGCAAACGTTACACGTGTATACGGTTTCTACGACGAATGTAAGAGGAGATGCAATATCAAAGTATGGAAGGCTTTTGTGGATACATTCAATACGCTCCCTATCGCGGCTATTGTTGCGCAGAAGATTTTCTGTGTGCACGGTGGATTGTCCCCAAGTTTGTCACACATGGATGATATCAGGCAAATTGCGCGACCCACCGACGTGCCCGACTACGGCTTATTGAACGATCTGCTATGGAGTGATCCTGCGGATATGGAGAATGACTGGGAGTCCAATGAGAGAGGCGTCAGTTATTGCTTCGGAAAGAAGGTCATCATGGAGTTCTTGGCAAGACACGACTTTGACCTTGTTTGCAGAGCTCACATGGTGGTAGAGGATGGTTATGAGTTCTTTACTGATCGAGTGTTGGTCACTGTATTCTCAGCACCAAATGTAAGCGCTACTGATGCTCTCGTTATTAGGTTCCTGCTAACACTGCCTAGTACTGCGGCGAGTTCGATAACTGGGGCGCCGTCATGTCAGTCTCAGGAGAATTATTATGCAGTTTCGAGCTTCTTAAACCCCTCGACTCAAGTGCACTCAAGAGCCATATCAAGAAGAGCCGAAACAAGCGTCAAAGCATGCTCAACTCACCAGTACGTATCGCAATTGAGCCTACTGGGTCTTGTTTGATTCAGGGCTCCCCAATGTATCTATAGCAGTACTGACTTTGGCTTGTAGCCCGCACACTACGCACCTCAAAGTTACTAATCTTGTACTTTGGTGTAGGATGCTGACTGTTTCCCTTTTCCTGAATTGCCAATTATCGCGAAAACAGCAACCATACCACAAGAACAAGACTTCCAAGAGTCTGCAGATGCTGTTACTACGATGATAGCGATGACAATGACGGATGAACCAGTGAGGCGAGGTCTGTCCCAAAAACTGCGACGCGTGCGGAGAAAGCCGGGGTTGGAACAACTGGGCAGTCAAGACGATGGTGCTGCCATGATAGCTCCTCACAAACAAGGACACAATAGAGCAAACACATGGGCAAACGAATGGCGCCAGGCTGTTACGTTGCCCACGAGCCTGAGCGAGCCACAGCTTTTGCAGCGTGCACAAGGATACATCGCAGACGCTCCGAACATGGAAAGACGGAAGCAGAAGCTTGGAGAGCAACGGACGTTGTGGGAGTCGACTTTGCCTAAGACTCCATCGGATCATATGGGCTACTTCTCAACCGGGCATCATCTCGACCATGTGCACCCTGATGAGACGCCGCCGCCGTGAAGGACCTTGCACAGGCGTTTCAATCTCATTACCTCTTCGTTTCACTGTATGTGTATTCCGCATTGACAGGCGCCGGCGCACAGCGGCATGAAGCATGAACTCTGGTAGCCTTATCGACCATTGGACTATGGATGCTTGAATTGAGACTTTTCTTCTCTTGCCATGCTTCGTTTGCAGTATTGACAGACGAAGCGCGTTGTATAGCATATAGCATACTGATGACATATCATCGTCTTCAAAGTAATCTTGTTCTTAGAGCTACCATCTTATGTTCCTGTATCCACCAAGATACTATTGCTGTATACCCTTCGAAATAGTCGTTGCTGAGATTCATAATCATGTCGTCTTCACAATGAAGCCGGACTAGGCGGTAGCTCACCCGTTGCCCAACGACTAGGACTGCCTCCCATCACATACTCCATCGTACCGCCCTTCTCAAATACATCTTCCCAAGCTACCCACGCTTTGTCCCACGTCTTGCCGTTGACCTTCAGGCTCTGCACGTAGGGTGCCGAGTTTCGATCGCCACCTTCACTGAAAGTGGTAGTAATGGTAATTTTGTTCCCATTCCCAAGGTCGAGACTAAGCTGAGGGAACCAGGGAGAAAGTACAAGGAAGGTAGTTTGACCTGTCAGTGGATACAGACCAATCATTTGCCACTGTTCAGAACGTTAGTCACGACTCCAAAGAAGCCTAACCATGAGAATGTGATGGCTTACGAGAAGATTTCCTTCCATAGCACCAGCATCAGAATTCCCCGGTAACCCTTCTACCCCAGAATTGTACAGCCTGCCAATCGTCCTACTTCTCTCCACACTCCGCCATTGCTCTCCGACCACAAAATTGTACAAGTACGGTGTCGTGAAACTAGGTTCATTCCCCGCGTCGAAGAAATCCAATTCGAAAATTTTGTTCAACCGATCAATGAAGCGTTCGTCGCCGCCAATACGCCGCTTTAGCTCCGCGACGTCATGGATTGCATTCATGCTGTAGATCCAACTACTGTCTTCATAGTACGCATCACCCCAGTAACAACCACCGCAGTCCGCAGGATCCTGGTTTGCGAATGACCCATTTGCATAACGCGGGACCATGAAGCCAGTGTGGTTATTGGACGTAGCTGCGTCATCCCAGTGGTTACGCCAGTTACGTGATCGGTTGAGGTAGCTAGATGCTTCTTGAGTTCTGCCTAATCCCGCTGCGACAACATGAAGACTGTAGTCGTTCGTGGAGTATTCGACTGCGCGTGAAACAGCGCGGGTGAAGCGAGGCGTGATGTATCCGTGCTGGAGCCAATCTGGGAGGGCTCCCCTTCCTTCTTTCGTCGAAGAATCAGGCGCTTTAGGGTCGAAATTATTGGGAGGTACGACTTCGGCGTCGGTACGCATTGCAGAGAAGCCATCTTCCCAATTTATTGCTCCTCGAACGCCTTTGATGTAGGCGTCCGCGAGCACGTTGTCAGCGTTGGAACCGCCCTGGACCCGGCCGTTGTAGTTTGAAGACCGCGCATCAGGCATGAAGCCGTCGTGTCGCCAGGTGTCAATGAGTGAGCGAATAAATTCTGCGTATGCCTGGGGCTGAATGATGTGAAATAGGGCTGTTTGGCATTTGCTCAAATCCCAGAGAGTGAAAATGTCGTCATAGTAGGGTTCCCCTTCGTTCCAATCGGGGTTTTCGCCTGTTCGGTTTGAGGGAATGAGAAACATGCCATAGAGAGAGCTGTATACCAACTGCAAGTCTTCTATGTTTTCGGAGGATATCTGAACTTTGCTGAGTATCTCCTCGTTCCATCTAGTTCTTGCAACTTCGACTAGACTATTGAGCTCGGTGTCTTGTGAGATTTCTTCTAGGTTCTCGCAAGCTTTGTCGGTAGAGAGGAATGAGATACCAACACGAGAAGTCACCTTTGATGCGGTAAATGTGAATACGCCACCGAGCCGTGCAGTTCCAGATACCGGCTCGCTCGTGGCGCTAGCATTTCCGATGAATGTCCTTGATCGCAGAGGTTGCTGGTTGAACTTGCCGCAGAAGTAAATCGTCCAGTCTGGTGAAAGATTCCAACCATTGTTGTAAATTCCAGATCCCTCATAGTGACCATCGTTAGAGATACTGAAACTACCGCCTGAGTAATGTTGTTCCCAACCAAGGCCTCTAAAGCTGGGGAGTACATGCGAAACATCGACTACGACAGATGACGATGTGTTATCTGGAAAGGTGTACAAGTACAAGCCGGCATGCTGAGTAGCACTCAGCTCTACTGTGATCCCATTTGCCAACAAAGACTTGTAGTATCCTACACTTGCTTGATCCGGTGATGCTCGCGGTTGTGACAAATCTGCCAGAGGGTCCGGTACATCACCCGTAACGGGCATCTGACTTACAACACCGTATTTCGGCGCGCCTCCAGTTCCGGACTCGTGCATCATACTGAATCCGAAGATATTGCCTTCGGGGAGGTAACCGGAGTAGGCATCAGCATTCCCATTCTGAACGTCTGGTCCAAGCTTGACCATGGCGAACGGAGCGGCAACTACGCCTGGAAATCTGTTTCCACCACCCTGTGTTCCTTGACTAGTAGCTGTGAGTATCTCAATGATGGAAATGGAACGTGTTACTTACAACACGTTGATATGTTGGCTGTAATCATTGTATGCCTGCACGGATACAGCTGAGATGAGTATTAAGGACCGATAAACAACCGTAAGGACAGATAGTCTCGCAAAGACTGTCATGATCGCAGTCTGCAGAAAAAACATGCTGTAGATCATTCTGTGATAGAGAGTCTGTCAAGCTGGATAGGTTACAAACATGCGCCGTTTTGTACGTAGCTAAGTACTAGTCGCATCCACACTCCCAGCGTCACTGGTACCTCGAAAAAGAAATTAAACAGGTACCAGTCAATGCTGCCCAGAGAGCTCGGATTCCAATGAGCGGTATCCGCTTGACGGTATGTATAGCGCAATGTCTATCGTGTGGCTAACTTGTGGCTATGCGTGCCGTAGGTGCCGTGCATGCCGATCGGTCCGGGCGGTTCAAGCAGTATAAGGGTACGAAGAAGATGAAGATAGACCAAGAGTACGAATAGAAACGACCGACAACCGTATATAATGCCCCATATTCCGCTGTTTGTGCCGTGCTATATGCTGTACCTTTGGTTATTGTGGGGTGTAATGAGATAGCCAGCTGACCAATGAGATCTCATGATGCCAACATGTGTGAGCGACAAGTCGCTATTAAGACTGTAACACCTGCGTCAACCGATCAACGATTAGGAAGGAAGGTATATCTGACGTAGATGTTGGGAGACAACGTAACTGATTGGAAAATTACCACCCGCCTGCTTGATTACTGAGCAGCGGCTGAATTGTCTCAGTAGTTTATACCTGACGGGCCGTATGCAAAGCTACCGTCATGTAGGTAGACTGTACAACGCAACGCGCAGAAACATCATCAGAAGTCCCGATCTATTCATGTTCATGTCCGTGTGCATAGAAAGCTCGCACTAAGACTTGTTGAGGTAGAGCCTTAGTCCTTTGACCAACCCGCGAGATTCTGAACGATAGGATTCCTGCCACCCCTTGTGATGATCCAAACGACATCTTCGTCGCTCTCATTAATCTCTTGATGCTCTGCATATGCGGGTATAAGTGCAAAATCTCCCGGTGCTAGCTCTTGTCTCTTGTTACCATTTGATCCGCTCACGATGGCGCCATGGCCCTTTGCTGCGTACACAATGGTGTCTGCCAAGTTATCAGATTGCTGCTTCTGTAAAATTGCACGAACGCTGGTTCGGGTAGAGCGGATGATACGGGCGCACGATTTGAGACACACCTTCTTCGCCGTGATGATGGACTGCAGAGGCTGTATGAGGTTTCGCAATCATGACTATCGCCGTCAGCAGTCGTGGAACTAGTAAACTATGTCGGTCCTACCAGTGCCACATAACTGATCTGACATGTTTACGATTGCAGGCATGCGAATCATGCCATCGGTCTGCGGACCATCCGGAGCCTGGATCTCGGATCCTTTTTTTACTTGAACCTCTCGAGACATTGCGTATTGCAAAAGTACTGAATCGCGAACAGCAGGCAAGTAGGAGATTTCATACGAAGGCGTTGGAGGCGTCGAGCTATGACGCCGGCTTGATGCGGAGACCCCACACGCAACGCGTTGGAAGGATTGCCAGTCAACTCGGTCTGGGGACCTAGCTCGACGACGTGAAATGTCGCATCCTACCCAGGATCAAAGTAATCATGTCAAGGGGTCGTCAAGCATCTGAATGTCAGCATCTGTTTGTCGGCATGTGAAGATTGCGCGCCGCGGAAATGTCGACACGTGAGCGTCCCAATGCAGCAACCTCGAAATGACCTCGGCATCTACGCGTATGACGTTAAGTTTCAAACAGCAAGTCACCCGGTCAATGACGGCAGCGACCAATTGCAGCGCTCGCAAAGCAGCGCACGAGATCATCAGACAGCGGCTCGCTGCACTCCGGAATGCGCTATATGCGGCCGACCTTCAGCAGCTGGCGGTTTCCCCGGATTACCTTGGCGCGTGGAGTAGTTGCTGGCATGTGAAAGCATCCCGAAACTTGCTAAGCCTCTTATAAGTCAGTAAGGGTTGTCTTGTGATTAGTGACACCTCATCGTTCTGCTCTCCTTACTCGCACCCTCTCCTCCCTCTGCACATTGACAGATCAACATGTCGAAACGCTTCTCAGCAGCTGACGTCGCGTCGCACAAGACAGCGAGCGACCTATGGATCATTGTAGACGAGGATGTCTACGATCTGACCAAGTTCCAGGACGAGCATCCCGGAGGCAAGAAGAGTATGTCGGCGCTTTTTCTGCAAACCTCAGAACCCAAGACTAACTAGTCCAAGTTCTTTCGCGCGTCGCAGGAAAGGACGCCTCAAAGCAGTTCTGGAAGTACCACAACGACAGCATCCTCAAGAAGTACCAGAAGCTCCAAGTCGGATCGCTAGACACCAAGGCTGCTCCCCCGGCTTCACCAGCAGCGGCTGCCCCCGAACAGAAGGCGGCGAAGAAGAAGGATGTGGTCAAGCCAGAGGCCAACTCTGGTGTTGTAGCGCCACAGCCAACTGAGGCTGCTGCTGAGGAGGCTGAGCCTTTCGATGCTTACGGCGACCTAATCCCTTACGCAGACCCATCCTGGTACCAAACAGTACGTCAACCTACGGACGACACATGGGCGTCGCTAACACAAAGCCTAGTACCACTCTCCCTACTTCAACGATACGCACGTAGCCCTCCGCGACGAAGTCCGTCAATGGGTCGAAGAGAAACTCATGCCCAACGTGACTGAATGGGACGAAGCAAAGAAAGTACCCGACGAGATATACAAGGAGATGGGCGAGCGCGGATATCTTGCTGGTATGCTGGGCATCCACTTTCCCAAAGAATTGACAGACCGGAGAGTTCAATGCGTGCCACCGGAGAAGTGGGATCACTTCCACGAGATGATCATTACGGATGAGCTATCAAGAACAGGCAGTGGTGGTCTTGTCTGGGGTTTGATTGGAGGATACGGCATCGGCGCACCGCCTCTGTTCAAGTTCGGCAAGAAGGAGCTTGTTCAGCGCATTGGACCAGACATCCTGAGTGGAAAGAAGAGGATTTGTCTCGCCATCACTGAGCCTGGTACGTTCTGCCAACCTGGTTGAACATTCCGAACAACTTACTGACCGTGACAGACGCCGGTAGCGACGTTGCGAACTTGGGCTGCGAAGCCAAGCTCTCCGAAGACGGGAAACACTACATCGTAAACGGCGAGAAGAAGTGGATCACCAACGGCATCTGGTCTGATTACTTCACCACCGCCGTACGCACAGGCGGCGAGGGCATGAACGGTGTATCGGTACTCCTGATTGAGCGCAGCGCCGGTGGTGTCTCCACACGCAAGATGGACTGCCAGGGTGTATGGAGCAGTGGTACCACCTACGTGACCTTCGAAGACGTCAAGGTCCCCGTGGAGAACCTGATTGGCAAAGAGAACCAAGGCTTCAAGGTTGTCATGACCAACTTCAACCATGAGCGTATCGGCATTATCATTCAATGCTTGCGCTTCGCTCGCGTCTGTTACGAAGAGAGCGTCAAGTACGCACACAAGCGCAAGACCTTCGGCAAGCGCCTCATCGACCACCCCGTCATCCGCCTCAAACTGGCACACATGGCCCGCCAGATCGAAGCGAGTTACAACTGGATGGAGAATCTCATCTACCAGTGTCAGAAGATGAATGAGATGGAGGCTATGCTGAAGCTTGGTGGCGCTATTGCCAGCTTAAAAGCGCAAAGTACCACAACGTTCGAGTTCTGTGCTAGAGAAGCAAGTCAGATCTTTGGCGGTCTGAGCTACAGCCGTGGTGGACAAGGTGCCAAGGTGGAGAGACTATATAGGGATGTCAGGGCCTATGCCATCCCCGGTGGCAGCGAGGAGATCATGTTGGATTTGTCAATTAGACAGGCCTTGCGAGTACATAAGGTGCTCGGCATGAAGCTGTAAACCTTCACAGCATTAGTTTAAATCATATGTACCAATACCATACATCATCTTCAGTTGCGATGTTTGAGCCTGTTGCAGAGTGTCAATGTTCAGAGTAATGGCGCCAGCCGCGAGAGATGACAGCTAAAATCGTTTCTATGATTGGAGAATCCGTCATCCCTCCACAACATTAGTTTCGCAAAGCAATTCGACGACTATCACAAACACTTGCGACCGTTCATACCGGACACTGCAGTCAAAATTCAAGCCATCCGCGACATACCGGCAGCCCTAAGTTCTCGTCGAGGGCCCCCGCGGAAGCCCCACCAGCTGCAGTTCCATCTACGGCAGTTGCTGCCCAGCTGCCGATACTATGGTTGAAGCAACTTGTGACTGCATAAAGATTACATCCCATTATCTCACTGGTAGTCTCGCAGTGGCGAGTAGTCTCATTACGCCATCTTTGTGGTATGTCCAGGCGTCCTGAATATAGGTCTTTACCCATACAACGTATAGATGACAAACGTACAGGGTACATTATCTCCACATGTATGTTGTACACTCTCTGGAAGTATTCATGAGGCGCTGCAATGCGGAGAGAAGATCGTTCTAATCAATCGAACAGCAGAATCCACTCCTTTTACACAGCGTGCTACGAAGCTGCCCCTGTAATGGGTCATCTTGGCTCTAGATGCCGACCTCACCGTAGTACTGATAGCTACATAGGAAGCGGGGTACGAAGCAACGCCGTCAAAATTTGGGTCAAGAGCAACATGGCTCAATATATCACCATCTCTGCATCTGGAAACGAAACAGATGGGGTATCATGGAGATGAACACCAATTAACAGCTGACCGGGGACGACAGCTCAGCTCGCATACAAAGCATGTGCACCAAATACTGGTATAAAGGTTGAAAGGAATATGTAAAAGCACACAGTCAACCACTGCAGTCTCGACAAGATCAGACATACCAGATCCTCCGTACAACACCGAATCACACCAACAGACAATATGGCTCCTGTAACCGAAGTACCCCGAAAGGTTGAATGGAACGGCAAGCAGGTTCCGGTCTACCCTATGGAGACAATCGACTTCTCTGCGATCCTCTCCCAAGAGCCTGCCGAGCTGGAGAAGCTTCTCCAGTGCTGCAAAGAGCAAGGTTTCTTCTACCTGGATCTCAACAACGTTGATGGACGTCGGTTCATTGATGACCACCAGGAGCTGTTGAAGCTTATGCATCGATTTTTTGAGTCTCCTGTTGAGGTTAAGAACGAATATGGACTGATAGCTCCTCATCTTGGGTAAGCTTAGAAACCCAGATAGCATATGCCTTCTCCAAATTCTTACAATTTCAAGATACGAGCCAGTTGGTTCGCGCAACGGCGTTCTCGAGGACACACGGGATGGCTACGAGATGGTGAAGGTATCTCGCGATGAGATTCAACGCGAGTCCCCTCACATTCCTCGCAACATCAAGAATAGCGGTGATCTCAAGATCCTTGAGAATGCCATCTCTGGCAACAACATCATGGGAAAAGCCATTCTGGCAGCTCTCTCGACGGCGTTCGGCCTGACTGGTGCTGCGCGCTTTGAAAACTTGCATCGCAACCACCGCCCTTCGACAAGCACTTTGTCCATGATGCACTATATCCCATCCAACCCTGCTAAGGACGGTAACGTCGGTCATCAGAAGCATACTGACATCAGTTCGTTGACCGTACTCTTTACTGAGCAGTGGGGTCTCCAAATCCGCCCACCCGGCAGCAAGGAATTCGGCTTTGTCGAGCCCAAGAAGGGTCAAGCTATCATCAATGTCGGTGATTCTTTGCGCTTCGCTAGTGGCCACACTTTCCAGTCGTGCATTCACCGTGTTGTGCCGTACAACTACAGCGAACATCGCTACTCCGTTGCATACTTTCTGCGCGCTGAGGACGAGACCATGTTTCAGGACAGTGAGGGCAGATTCGTTACAGCACGCACGTGGCACGATGAGAAATTCTTGGCTTTCCTTGCATCGCCTGCAGACCAGGCTGCTGCTCCAAGCTCTATGTTGTTGGGCGGCATGCAGGAGGATGAGACTGATGTTTATAGCCTGCCTCAACCAAAGCCTGTTGCTGCGGACGCGGCCAAGAGCTCCACTTTCGAAGTGACCACCGTTGAGATTGGTGCTTAGTGGAAACTCCTCTCGTCCATGTGTTCTGTAGCACGACCTTACGAAATGTTCCAGATAAATTGTATATAGCAAGCAAAATATCTTGTGCAAAAGTATATATGGCTATGTGTTGTCTTCAATGTCCAATGGTATCGCAATCACAAGTTGGATATTAATTGCCTGAGAAAAGACATAATATTCCCTATTACAACATGATTCGTACGCATACGGACACTAAAGTCAGGGGTATAAGTGCATATAGGGAATACTCCACATAAGGCGGCATCGAAATAGAGTACATTTACTGGGATGTGTCAAACCCTGGATATTGGCTAAAAAGCGCATTTTCCGCCACTTGGCACTATTTGTAACCTTCGAAAAACCTGGGTGACATACCAATTTCACCGTCTTCAAGTACAGTATTGAGGCGACCGTCATGCTACTCATTTTGGCATTGCTGTATGCTCCCAGTGTCCATGCATGTGACAAAGAACACCATTACCGCCACCACGATCGCCATTTGGAGCGACGCGATACTGCTCCCATTTTCCCGCCAACTTTGACGGTGAATGAAAAGCTTTTGACATCTTCCTTTGATAACACGTCTATAGCATCTTGGTCGAGCTACTACTGTAAGAACTGGTTTGCTGATCTTCTGTTCTCGTCCCTTGAAAATGCTCATCAGGTCTCGCAGCACATAGACGAAACCTCGCAGGCGAAGGCGAAACGGTTCCAAAGTGGACTTCAGAACGCTGGAATGAGTATAGCTTCGAAACAAGACTAGACAGTTATCGTAGGTAGCTTCTATTGGGAGCTCAGACATGTGGGCTGATCGAACTTAAAGACGTCTACCTTGATTACCCAGTTCATCGTTCTCTTTCTCTTGACCATGGAAACGGTAGTACCTACCACGCAACACTTGAGGAAGAGATACTCGAAGAGGATGGAACTACCGGCGATGCTGACAGAGTTCCTGCTTTTCATGGATACTCTGGGTCAGGTGATGCATCGGCTGAGTACATCTACGTTGGTACGCGTTCCTCCAAAAAGCACATGCATGAGATCAGGAGCTGAGTTAGTTAGGCCGAGCTTCTCAAGAGGACTTCAAACGTCTTCTCGCCCTTAATATCACCCTTGAAGGCAAGATTGCTCTAGCAAAGTACGGTGGTCCATTTCGCGGCCTTAAAGTAAAGAATGCGCAGACTTTTGGCATGATCGGAGCTGTGATCTTTACCGATCCGGGAGACGACAGGAACATGACAGCTGGAAACTACGCTACGTATCCCGATGGACCTGCAAGGAATCCAACAAGTATCCAGAAAGGCAGTGTGATGGATTTGAGCACCTACCCAGGAGATCCCACGACACCGGGATATCCGTCTAAAGAGGGCGTATCGAGAAAGGAGAAGAAGACTGTACCGAAAATTCCGAGTCTACCAATCTCTTGGCTTGAAGCAAAACCACTGCTAGCCGCTCTGAACGGTCATGGTGTTGATGCAACGACTGTGAATCGACTGAATTGGGTGGGTGCAATAGATGGGGTTGATTACAGCACAGGACCGTCAAAAGCTGTGCTGTCGATAAGCAACATTATGAGGGGCGAGACTAAGTGGATTCACAATGCTATCGGTATTTTGAATGGTACGAACGAAGACGAAGTTGTTATTGTAGGCAACCACCACGACTCTTGGATGATTGGCGGGGCTGGTGAGTCACAGATGCTGAAAGGATGCGTTGAGGAATTTGTTGACGTGTATAGCTGATCCACACTCCGGTTCCGCAATTCTCGTTGAGTTGGCTAAAGCCATTGGTACTCTATTGAAGACTGGTTGGAAGCCAAAGCGGACCATCGTGCTCTGCAGCTGGGATGCTGAGGAGTATGGCCTAGTTGGAAGGTGAATTACCTATATCAGCCCAGCCTAGAAGACTCTGACTAATTTTTTCAGTACCGAATGGGTCGAGGAGTACATCCCCTGGTTGACATCATCTGTTGTGTCTTACCTGAACATTGACGTTGGCATAGCAGGCACCATTCCCGACTTCAGTGCCACCCCCGATCTCCACGCCCTCACCACTTCCACAGCGCGGAAGATCATCTGGCCGCATGGCAAGAACCGCACATTATACGATATCTGGGAAGAAAAGACTGGTGAAATTGACACATTGGGCGCGCAGAGCGACTATACAGCTTTTGTACATCGGGCCGGCGTCTCCGCTATTGACATGGGCACCACGCGAGCGCCTCTCGATCCAATATACCACACGCACTCGAATTTTGACTCCTTTCATTGGATGACTAAGTTTGTAGATCCAGGTTTCGTAATGCACACAGCCATCGGAAAGTTCCTTGCGTTGATGCTGTATCGTTTAGTCGACGATGAGATTGTACCACTCGAGCCGGCGAACTATGGGGTGGAGATGCGAGCGTGGCTAAAAGGATTGGACGGTGTCATAAAAGATTCGAACACAAAGGTCAATCTTGATCTTGGAGAGCTGGAGAACTCCGTTGCTGTGTTCGAGGATGCAGCGCGGCAGTTCAATGCTGCTCGTAACATGGCTGTCAGCTCAAACAGTTCGGTGCTCAAGACACAGCTGAATCACAAGGCACGCGATTTTGGACGCGGATTCGTCAGTGAAGGCGGCCTCCCGGAAAGAGAGTTTTATAGACACCTTGTCTTCGCTCCTGGAGTTGACACTGGATATGCGCCGGTTACATATCCAGGAGTGACCGAGGCCGTTGTTGCAGGAAATACTACCCTAGCAGAGGAGTTCGTCGGAAAGACTGCAAAGGCTATCTTGGCTGCTGCACATATTTTATTGTAGTAGATGAACGTATGTCGAACTTGAAGAGCAATGAAAAAAAGTTTGCAAGGGCGCGTCGTTGCTTCGATTATACCATACAATTGAAACTAACCTCTCCATTGTGCTTGAGCCATTTCACATCCTCCATATATGAAGCCGTCGAACTAGACAGTGTGCTAGTATGTGTTCACGTCATGAGCCGTGTTAATTCCCATGCTTTTCTGCGACTTCTTTCTGGCCCTTTTGCACCCACTCTTTAAACGGATCTTGTACATTCGGATCCTTCCTTAATCTCTCGATCTGATCTTCACCCGACGGCACCAAAAGGCCCTTTTTCACAGAATCCCTCTTCTCCACCCCTTCACACCACTCTTTCAATTTCGGAAACTCCTTTAGCTCAATACCTGCCCATGGTGCCCACCGAACCCAGGTAAACGTTGTTATGTCCGCGATACTGTACTTGCCACGACCCTTGCCTGCTAGATAATCTCTATCTTCAAGGCGAGCTTCGAGTATAGAATAGAGCCGTTTCGTTTCGTTCTGATATCGCTTCACCCCGTACTCGATCTTCTCGGGTGCATATCGCACGAAGTGGTTCGCCTGCCCTTGCATTGGGCCCACGCCCGCATTCTGAAAGAAAAGCCATTGTATCATTTCCATCGCCTCATCACTGTCCTGGAAGCTGAACTTGAAATCTGTGTCATAGTGCTCGGCAAGATAGAGAAAGATGGCCCCAGACTCAAAGACAGGATAGGAGTTGCGGGTGTGGTCTATGATGGCCGGGATGCGACCATTAGGGTTGACTTTGAGGAAAGAAGAAGACTTTTGTTCGTCTTTGGACAGGTCAATCGAAGTGGTCTTGTAGGGGATGCCGAGTTCTTCGAGGAAGATAGAGATCTTTTGGCCGTTGGGAGTACCTGCTGTGAGGAGTTCGATATTGGGAGAAGTCATTCTAGTTTTATTTCCTGCTGCTTTCTGAATTGTCTTCTACTTGAGCAACAGTAGGGATTGAGAAGAGTGGATGTTGGGGCGTTGATGTTGTGTCGTTGCATTATACTTGCGCACTCATGTATCATGATGACGTGCGCTTCAAGTAGCTGCAGATCGCCGTGAGGGTCTGCTCGTTGCACATAGTATTAAATATCTCTGTTCTACCACGAAACCTATCGCGAAGGGAACAGATATAACAGTTTCCTTAGTCGCAACTATTGTAGCACCCAATCTCGGAAGTGGAGAGTCGTTCATGGTATCCAACTCATGTTGGGATTCTGGTTAGCGCCACACTAGTTGCATGCCTCCCAATCTTAGGAGCCACCATCTCGATACCGAATGAACTACAACGTATCGCAGGGGTTAGTCTGCCGCAACATATGAACACCGTTCCTTCTTTTCAACGCCGCGTGCTTGCACATAGTAATATCTTCACCATCGCCGATAATGCGCCGGTACGTCGATGCTTAGACATGCCGTTCGTTTCGCGCAGCACTGAGTGGTCTGATTTTCTTTCGGGCCTTAGTCCATTTTGGCCCAAAACAGCAACCATCATGCCACTTTCAAGACCAAGATCCAATCGATGTGTAAGGGGAGTGATGCATGTGACTTTACTTTGAGCGACTTCTGGAGCCTAAAATGTTGCTTCGCACGCGGAGTTGACGGTCTTCTGCTGTTGCACTCCTCTTTCTCACTCTCCATTCTACTCCTTGTCTTCTGCGTAACGTTACCGTCCAGCTCATTACGACCTGTACTGGTTTCATCTCCCAATTCAACCCTCCTTTTGGACCAACAACCTAGTTCGTCATACCGAAAGAAACAAGGTCGCAATGATGATAACACGTACCTTTTCCCTCACAAACTTCCTCATCGGATCATCGGCTCTCTGCTTCCAGATATTCGTCCTCTACCCCTGGCACGAGAAGCTAGAAGAAGAGTTCGTGGAATTGAAGAAGGAACATGCGAGACTACTAGAAGAGACGCATTCAAGGCACAGAGATGAACTGAGAGGAATCAGGGAACAGCTGGAGCTGGCCAACGAGCGAAGGAAGACGGGAAGGTTCTGGTAGAATCTTGCTACACGAATGGGAGGACAGGGAGCGGAGGAGTCTAGAGACAGATTTACGACAATTGAACAGGAAGAATGGAGGATTCGATTGGCCATGGAACGTCTAAAATGGTACACCACAGCGCACCACTGAGCGGAACCAGCTGGGCCTTGTTACTCAAGCTTACGATGTCTGCTCAAAAAATCGGAAAAGCCTGGATCCGGCGCTCTCACAATTCAATCTACAGAACAACATCATGCTATGTTTACCAAGGGTTTGGCATCGGGCCCGGATGTTCGCGGAATGTATTACCACTGGTCTAGGATGTTTTCGATGGTCTATATACGTATTGTCAGCTTTCGCGCTTCTACGCGTGTCTGTAAAAGAGAGAGCGGGCTAAAATCATGAAACCTGAGAAGATATAAGACGAGCCCGGAAGCCGGCTACAGTAGGCTGTGTGGAGTACATTAAACCACGGCGCACGCATAATTTCAAAACGTGAGACACACACGTGAATTCATCAACAAAACCTCATAAATGAATCGTATTCATCCTACCCATGTCTCTCTTGCTCGTTCATGCCACATCTACCACGTCTCCCAACGTCACTTTAGACTTCTGGAATGTGGACAAAAGCGCGTTGCAATGAAGTTTTCAATGAACTAGAGAACAAAGCGCCAGTCTACCTTTATTGATCAATAGTTACATAGCTCCAACGGTCCCTCGGATGTCAAAGCCTTGTCAGGTCTGTCAAACGCGGAAGCAACTCCGATACAGCGGTAGTGGCCTAAATGGGCGGAAGCAGGGACGATCAAGAAGGGACGGGCAGCCCCTTACCCATCCTACCCACAATGACGTTAATAAGAAGCGAAAAAAGACAGTGATCGGCACCGAACAAACAAAGGGATCAACAAACATGCATGTGCCGAACCGTCATGACACGTTTGACGGCGCATCCAGCACGCAACCTAGATAGTGGCACAGAACTCGTAATGGCAGGAGGATTAGTTGAAGACGCGCGTTAAGCGTTCGTTCAAGTCCCACATCCATTTTCACGTGCATCGTCGTTGAGAGGAATTTCGTATTCATTCGATTCGATAATCAAGCAGAAAGTCAAACGGGCACAGAGATAAGCCCGTAACAGTGCAGTCGGAAAGGAGGGAAAAAAAAAATGAATTAGTAGTAGGAAACGCAACGCCTTGGTATAGTGGTAAGAAGTGTCAATCCGAGCCGTCATGCCCCGAGGAGCGATAATAGAGCACTCTAGAGTAAGCATCCTGGAGTCGTGGTGATGCTCTGCTAGATGATGTGACTGGGTTCTTGACTGCCACGTGTGTGTAGCAACAGACGGCCTGGCTCCCAGTATGTCTGTTCGTGTGCTCGCTCGCTCTCCAAAGGATATCTCGCATGGTGAAGCCAGAAATTCGTGCCAGTAGAGAATAAGACGGCATGTATAACCGTCGCGGCAGCGAGCAGCGGTCGAGTCTCGGCAGGCGACGAAAGATGAAAGTGTCGTGTGCCGCTGCTCGGGCTTAAGTCTCAATCTCCTTCTTCTCGCTGACGCCCTTTGGCCGGAAGACGGCGTCTTGACCTGACATGCGGCGGGCAAGTGCGCGGTCAAGCTTTGCTCCCAGCGCCAGCTTGCTCATGTCGTCAGTCTTCTCGTTGGTGAGGGCGTACCGTTGCTGGACCAGGCGCTTGTCTTCGAGGCGATCGAATCCGGCATTCCATGTCTTGATGTCTTGCGACTTGGGGTCGCCGGCGGTTGACGAGGCTGCCGAGAGGTGTGAGGGTGCGATGGAGGGTGTGAGAGTAGGTGTGGCGCTGTAAGTAGACATGCGGGTGGAGGCGCGGTTGGCGGCCGACTGTTGTTTCTTTTCGTTAGACTGTGCTTGTTCCGACATGGTCGCGGCGTGGTATTGGGTGCTGGCGTTGTAGTGTCGGGACGGGACGGGGAGGCGAATGGTTATATGGTGAGTGCAAGCGGAAGGGCAGGCGCAAAGGAGTACGGTCGAGCAAGCAATGTAGGTGCTGCCCGGCGAGCATCGACCACAGGCAGGGGACGTCTGAAACGGGCAGTGGATACGGGAGAATGACTTACGTTGGCAAGCATGGGCCGCGACGACTCTAGAGAGTTTGTCATGATGCGCGCCACGGCGTGTCCGGTGGATGCTATGTGGGCGTGGGGTAGCGGCCCTCTGCGACGTCGATGTCGTGCCTATGGTAGATGCGCGACTCAAGGCTCTGGGAGAGGGGCGCGAAGGCAAGTAGAACAGACAGATGCCCGTGTCTGTGCCGCGTTGGTAGACAAAGATGAAGAGACGGGTGTAGTCGGTCGGAGTCCTGTGCTCAGCCTGTCTTCGTCGCGCGTTTCAAAGGGCCCAGATCGGCAAGGGGCTGCGTGAGTAGTAAGATGGACGCGCAGGGGGAACGATAGTTAGCGAGTCGCAACGGGATGCCACAAATGTTTGGTAGGCTTGATAAACGTCAGCCTTGCAGAAGGATGGTGCTATGTCGGTCTTGATGGCGCGTTATCCACCATCTCACCGAGTGTACATGCGGCGGAACACAGCATGGTTATGTACCCGCGGCTGTAGTCATCCACAGAGCCACCCTTTTAGCAGCAGCAACATAGCCAGCACCAGACTGCTCTGAAACGCTCGCACGTAAGGATGCTGCATGTAACGACACTCGCATTTCGATAAAGTGACTTGTATGCATGCAGTCAGCCTCCACGACAAGCCATTCACGCCGCGATTGACAGCCGGCCAATCCCCTTTAGCACCACCCACGCTTGCCTCGCCTATGCCACGTTTTTTCTGCGGGAACCCACCTTGGCCGCTACAGGGCTCGGTGTTGCTTAGGTCAGTTGGTCTCCGCTGGTGCGCGCGCCCATTGCCGCTCCTGGTTTGGTCTTGACGTCGGCTCTGCAGTCGGTCCATCGTAGACCAACTCCTTGCGTTATCATGAGACGTACCTCAAAGAGGCCCTCACTGTGGCGGAGAACACTGCATGTCCCAATCGCCACCAGCCCGACTTTCCTAGAACGCTAATTAATGCATTCTTGGCTTCTTTGATGGAACTGCAGCTAGTCCTAGCACCAGATAGCCAGCACCTGTTGTGGCGTTTGGGTACCCAAGAATGCTGCCGTCCTACGGTACGATGAGCAGCCAATATCAAGGCACAAGCAGCCGCCCCTTTACTTCCAGTTATTTCCGACCACAGCATTCAACCTTTCACGAGAGAGCCAAAAAGAACATAGCTCGGGACGATCTGGAAGTCGCTCTGCCATCGAGCTTGCTCGCCATACCATGCCTACCAGCAGTTAAAAGCAACCCCAAAGCAACCCACACTCTATCAATTTGCAAACCATCCCAATCCATGTTCGTACATGCGCAATCGCCTCCCCCACTCCATGCACCCTCCCGAAACGGCAACATGACAGCGCCTTTCATTCAATGTCCAAGCGCCTGCATGAAAAATGCATGCTCACCACGTGGCCGCAACGTGGGTTCCGTGGCATGCACGGCCCTCCGCAGTCTGGCAATGGCGGAGCACAGATGAAGGGTCGCGGCTGCGTCGGAACAATTCTCCTCGATAGTGAAACCGCAGTCATCCCGAGGTTCAAGCACGGGGTCGCATGCATGAGCAAGTGCGTAAGCATACTGTACACCATATCACACCACGATGAAGTCGCATTGCATGATACGTATGCCTTCTTCATGGCCTGAAGATGGCGTTCCGGAGGTCTGGAGAGAAGAAAAAGCATCCTTGGCTTGATGAGACGCAATGGCGTCGCTTACCATCAAGTCTAGACTGCTACGCTGCGACGCAACCTGTCCCGCCTTCGTTGACCACATCTCCGAGGAAATAACATGACTGACAGAAGGCAGTAATTCCGAAACGACTGAATGTGTGTATAGCGAGCCCGAAAGCGAATGTACCGTGCAGTCTGGTTTCGCAAGAGAAAAAAAGCGCCCTGTCTTCTGCTACTAGTCGCTACTCCTCTACATCGCCATACCCGGTAGATGGTCGAGCCCTGATGGATATTGTTAGCAGATTGTCAACACACATGCACAGATTCGATGCCCTTACATCCATCCAGGTCCTCCTTGATAGCGCTCTTGACCTGGCACTTATTCATCGCTTGAACATTCTGGCTCTGCGATTACTTGTTAGCAGCCATTCTATACTTCGAGAGCTCGTGTTGCATCACTTGCCTTCAACGGCCTTCCATTCTCACATGCCTGAAACATGCAGCTATTGTCCATAGCCTTCTGCAAACTGTCGTCCTTCCAGCCAAAGAGGTAATCAGCGTGGGTACCGTAGCCTTTGTTGTCATTGTAAGAAAGGAAGAAAGGATTGGAGCCATCCTTGGGCCACATGTTGTTGAACTGCGTAGTATCCCACAGCGTCTCGTAGGCGACTTGTGGCATGCGGACTGGGTGAGAAGATGGGCATGCACCTGCGGGACTGAAGGCTTCTTTGGCTGTGTTGTACATGTGATCTTGGTGGTTGGGAGAGTCGACATTCTTGCCGTCCCAGCATCTAGATGTTGGCGTATCAGATTAGTATCTGTCCTACATACAGTTTGCATAGGAGGCTGCTCACGATGGGAAGTGATGCACAGTCATGATGCCGCCTTTGCAGGCCTTGGGTGGGAAATCTGGGGACTCCGGGAAACGAGTGTTCTTGTCTTGCAGACAAACAAAGCGAAGACCGGGGTGCTTCTTCGCGTCTTCTACGGTATTGGTGGTGGGAGATCCCACGGTCATGCGGAAGCCCTGAGAAGATTAGCAGTGCATGAGCTGAATGAAAGGTATGACTGACCTTGGGGAACGCGGTTATCTTCTGATTACCATTACTGTTGAAATCTTGTTGCGTATAGTAGATAGCTGCAGGGTAGTAGGTACAGAGTTAGTGAATAACTCATTTGTGATGATACAAAGACACTCACTCATGCCACCGTTGATGCCGTTGGGCAAAGCACTGTTCTGCATAATAGGTACCCGTTTGTAGGAGCCATTCGTATGCTTAAAGAACATGGCTGCAGTCCAGTAGTTGCTACACCTGTTAGAAGCTATCAGCAGAATATTGCGAGGGCTATCGTACCTGAAGTCTTCGGAGAATGTGCATGTAGTGCAAGTAGCTATGGTAGATGGATCTTCCTGCATAGTCGCGTTGAATGCATTGCCTCCAACGATTTGATGAACGTGAGCGGAAGGAGTTTTGCCTGGCTCAACGAGCGGATCAAGCCGCTGAATGCTCAATGTCGAGCATCCGAAGCGTAGTGCGGCCTGCGCGGGTACAGCGAAAGTGGCGATTTGGTACCACTTCATCTTCCTATCTTTTTGCTTGGCTCAGTGAGGGCGTACCTACTGCAGAAAAGGCGAAGGACGAGTTGTCATCTTAAGCTGCAGGATCATCACTCTCTTCAAATCTTGGTGTAGGCATACCATCCTTGCTACATGGTGTTGATGGTCCGTGATATCGAGACGCTTTACCCATTGATTAATCATCTCTGTATGGAACCAATAACAGCCATAATCGTTAAATTCCCCCGCGTTAATGTTCGAAACATAGTCACAGTGCGACACCAACGCAATTAAGTCCAGATTTCGGCACTTGCTTCCCGCGTAAACCTCCGAGAAGCACGGCACTTCTCGCTTGCAGTGAACACAGGGATTCTTTCTATCGCCATCATTGAAAGAGGCCATCAAACAGCGCTACATGACAGATGAGAGTAAGGATCAGTGCATGTGAGCGCAATGCGTGTACCTATAGAGAGTTGATGTGGCGACGCCACGCTATTAGGTATTCGCTACCTAGGTATCTCTGAGTGGCGACCAAAGACGCGCTAATCGACTCCCATCCAGATTCCCGCGTGACATGTCAATGCAAAGTGAAGTCGCACAGATACTATGCGGCAAATAAAACGCCCATCTCAGTGTTATGGACGCCTTGAAAAAGATTGTATGACATCGATCAGCCGAGTGTGGTGAGAGCTTCAACTGGGCGAGAGGAAACAAGAATCGAAAACCTTGGGATGCCTGGTAGAGATCGGTGACATGATAGCGAAGCTGTTAACACAGTCGAAGTCTGTGCGAAAGGATGCTAGGTATTGGCTGTCTATACACGGTTATTTCATATAGTGCGACCTGCGAGGCTTCATTCTGAGGAATGGCAGGCTCGCATGGGGCCAAAGTGCATCGTCGGACTTCTGGAAAGCCATCAGCGGGCGGAAGTGACAAGGGGAAGAGGGGGAAGGTAGGTGAAAGGCGTCTTCATAAGTGTTCTAACTTTGGGTAGCACCAGTGCCCTTGGAAGTCCAGTATTGTCAGGTAAGCCCAGCTCCGCGATTGGCAACGGAGCGTGTCGATAGTGAAAGCGTACCTAGGTAAGCACAAAACTCATGAAGCCATCTAGACCACGATCGAACGATCAACCTTGAGTCGTCCCCACACTAAAGTGAAGAGGTGGGACGCTTGACGTAACCGCGACCGTTAGGCATGCTTCCCGAAAGCTTATCGGGTGCCTGACATGGAGGGGTTAAGGGCGAACGACGTTCGCTACAATCGACGGCTTGGCACTCGCGCCTGCCTATCACGGCCTCTCCATCGCTCCCGGTACCCGATACACACCTTTATCGCAGCCTCCAGCACGAAGCGACATGAGACGGAATGCCCACACGTAGAGCAGCGATGCCTGTTGTGTTTACATTGCAGTTGTTGTGAGCTACTCACACTTACCTCCGACTACAATACTACAGGTCTCAGGCACACCTGATGGTCGAGCTCTTGCGTACAACAGTGGCGATTGAATAGGGAACGGCGAGTAAAGGGATGAGAATTGCTTCCAGCATGATACAGGTTTACTGGTAAGAGAACCGGACGAGAGACTTTGTACAATATACGCCATGTGATGAACATTAATTTTCGCGCTACGCTTTAAGACCTGTGCCATCGTCATGCATGTATGCACTTCAGATGCTACTTAGGCCGGCAACACTTGCCCCATTTTCTCTCCATTTCCTGACATCAATATCATGCTCAAACTTATCTCGCCACGCCAGCAAAGTCAACGAGTTCGACAAGCACATTACACACGCCATCGGCCCACACAGCGAAAGCCTTCTCCCTCAGAACGCTATACCAGTCATCGGCGTTGCGAACATCGCGCCATCCCTGAGGACCAATAGACTTGATGGTGTAGCGGGGAAGAGACTTGATTTCCTGATGGCTGTCGTTTGGGAGGATGGGGTAATTGTTGAGAGTCGAAGTCGGGTTCGGAAGAACAGAGTGGGGGCCGTCTGCTGACGAAGACTGAGAGAGACAAGCAGTCGATGGAAGTGCTTCATGCTGAGCATGCTCCGTCTGTAGCGCGTTGGCAGCAGCAGCAAGTCCGCGAAGATTGTCTGTCCCAGGCTCAATGTCCTGAAATACATTTTCCGTCTTCAATTCAGGGTACTTGTGTTTGGCTGCTTTGAGCAGAATGACTGTCTCTCTCATGAAGTCGTTGTAGTCATACCACGCCAAGTGTGCTTGTGCTTCAGCTGTGATGCGCTTCTCGTCGAGCTTGTTACCCGTTCTACTTCCCGACGAGGGGAGTACAAGGAAGATGTTGATATGAGAGAGATTTGGTTCTGTGGGACTGTTTGTGGGCAACTGGTTGGCCGGTTAGCAGTGTCAATCATTCCGACAAGGTGTAAGAACAAACATTACCTTTGTACTTGATTGTATAGAGTCCATACTTTCTCTAGTATCCAAGGTTGCTTCCGGTTTTGGAGGGAAATCCTGAATAGTTGTCGTCGGGATCGGGATCGACAAGGCAATCGACCGTGACGAATGCGGATGATGAACCAGGTTACGATCGAAGACTGCTCGCGGTTGCTGCTCGACCCCATGCCCTGTATCGTCCTCTCCTTGATGAGTCACAGCTTCGACACTACCTTCTTTGTCTTTTTTCTTTGTGCCACCCTTCCTGGTTTCGATCGCGTACTGTCGCTGCCGCTCGTTGGTGACCATGCGTCGCATTAACGGGGTAACAAGACTGATAATTTTGTTGCCATCACTTGGCCATGTCAATCTCTCAGCCGGATCAGGGGTCTTGTCCTCCCCTAGTGCGCGGGCAGCTTCGATTGCGTCCTTCTCGCCTGGCTTTTCAACGTCTTCGCCAAAGAACTTTTCGCCGACTCCGTCGTTCAAGAAGTCGCGAACGCAATTGAACAGCCGTAACTTGACCATGTCGGTATCACCTTTACCACGGTTTCCTACGCAATTCTGCCGTTCCGGATGCGATGTGTCGAGCATGTAGGCTTTTGCTAAAGCCTGCAATTGAAGAAAATTTTCTGGGCTGAGCTGGAGGGACATGAATAGCTTTGACATTGGAGGACGTGTGTACTTGCGGGATGTTCTTTCAGAAGAACGACGGAAGAGGGCAGCGGCGGAGTGTACGCCTGCGGCACGAGCATCGTTCAATAGAGACTCGCTGGAAGGCGGTACAGTTTCACGAACACAGTCGCCATGTATATCCTGGCCATGGTCCTGAAGTTGAGGATCAGTAGGTCCACCAGTTCTACGTCGCTTCAGGTGAGCGAGCCCATCAGCTTGGTGCGAAGTATCTTCAGTTGGGGTACTGGCACCTCTCTTTCTCCTACTTCTGTCGCGTGATGTAAGAGTCGCTGTCACAGCATGCCCAGTGTCCATAGTATACGCTATCTGACCCGCGGCGGTCGCAGCCTCCAGAAGCTCGACAAGGTTATGGTTTTCCTCCAGTATATGTTCGTCTGACGTCTGGCGAGCAGTGGGTTCGGAGTACAGGTGTGGATTGAGTTGATGTTCGAGCGGCGATGCGACAGCAGCGGGACCGGACAAGTCATATTCATCCTCGTCGGACACGAATCGGGGCGGCGCAGTGTTTGCGCTGTTGGACGTCGTGACGAACTGGCCGGACCGCATATGGTAGTATGGCGCGTCAACGTTTGCCTTCATCGTGGTTCGTATCCCCCGAGATCAGACGGATCAGACGGTAGGAGCCAAACAGAACTGGGAATGGTCGGATAAATGAGCTGTCAATACACAAATGGTAAGTCTTTGGGTCAATATATGAGAACAAGAGAGCAACTGAGGTCATGCAAGTTGTGTTACGAGTGGATCCGACTCGATGCGTCTGGTAATCGGATGCGACACCGAATCTCTTTTGTATGCAAGCTCCCACGAGGTTTGGTTTGACACCGAAGCATGTACATGGTTTGGTTTGGGCGCAGTAGAACAACATTCGCGATTCGATAGAGAGAGCAGAGTACAGTTTGGCCCGACTGGAGAAGAGGGCGCATTGCAGTTTGACCCATCTCGGCGACGTAATATGGCGTAGAGGTGCGGAGATTGGGATCGTGGTTTGGTTTGATGCGAAACGTAGGGAAGCAGATCAGCAGACACACCTGATTGCTGTCGTGTACGAACGACAAGCGGGGCCGACCAGCGGGCCAAAGACGTCGCGATGGAAGGGTTTGTCTTGTTTGCACAATTGACACGCGCGCATGTGACCGAGCCGTAGCGACGATTAGATAAGCCATCTGCTCTCTAACACGCATCGATGATCAACATGAAAACAGGGAAAAGACCATGTTGCAAGTAAAGCGATATTTTGTATCATTCGTTTCCTCCGTCTTCAAGTACGAAGCGGTGTGTCAGATCCAGATAGCATGCTAGCAAAAGCCCCAAAGGCCAAAGACACTTAACGCCAGATGCCATCACACCCAGATACGCCTGCAAAATACCCAGGGTATCTATACAAAGAAGAAAAAAAGCTAAAAACCGTCGCCTTCATGCCACTCCCTACCAGCTTCCAACGCTCGGTTGCGTGGGTCTCGTCCCCGAATTTCTGCATCGTGTTTTAGGCTGTCTACAATTGGCCTCAACCGATCAATCTCTCTTCTGAACTCGTCATCTTTTCCTGGCTCGGGGACTGTCAACTCCTGCAACTTTGCCTGGTCGCCGTTCTTCTGTGCCTCTTCTATCTCCTTCCGTTTCTCCTCCCACTCTCTGAGATCCCTCTCTCGATCGCTGAGTTCGTTCTTGAGCGCCATGAAATTTTCGTATGCTTCTTCGCCGCCAAAACAAGATCCATACTGGTCGCAGAAACATATGTGTTCTTTGGGGCAAAATATGTTCTGACCTGTGAAGACAAACTGCCACACGTACTCCCAGATTCGTCCGCTCAGGCGATCGGGGAGTCGCGTGTTGAATAGCCAGTCTCTATACCAGACGTATTGCGCGTACGGCTTCGCTTGTATACGTTCCCGCGAGAGGGCAAACTGCGCACAGCAGGGTTGCGCAAGGACGGTAGGTACTTCGTCGAGAGGGAAAAGCTCGCTCCACGATTTCGCTAAGAGCACCTCTTCCTGCTTCTGAGCATCCTGTTCGGTGTTTCCCGGGTGCATCCAATCGGGACAGCCAGGATGCCAACTGCATCTCATGTTCACGAAGCCTTCCCTCCAAACGCGGTGTCGATTCAGTCGCGTTATAAGGAGATGCGCATCGTTGCCCAGAATTTCGTCGTTGTGCCAGGACAATTGATGGGCGTGCATAAAGATAGCGACGTCGGGGAGATTGTCGTAATTGTCGATGATCCACGAAAGATACACCATGACTTCGTGTCCCTTGTTCTTGGGTGGATGCAGCGGCGCGGAAGGATCGTCAGCGACGTAGACGGCTGTCTGCTGCTCTGGCATTTTCTCCAGTATCCAATTGACGTTCTCATGCTTCGTCTTCGCAATTACCAGTGTCGAGGTGAAGTTATGCTCTGGCAGCATTGGCGAGCCTGGCTTGAACACGGGTCTCGGGTTCCAGTTCGCATAGTCTGGGTCTTCGACCGTGTCTTTGGACGGCTCGGCGCCGCCAGTACTGGAGGGTGGCTGCTCATCAGTCCCAAAGTGCTCTCCCAAACCAACATGTTGTGGTATGCCCCGCCATGCTTGACTGGTGTCAATGCTTGAGTACAAGAATGCGATTACGAATAGCGTGAGGATTAGCGCGAGGACAGGAATGACGTTTCGACGGGTCATGCTGGTGAAAAAGGTGGGAGCGAGCGACTTGCAGGGAGCGAAGGGCGTAGATCGCCAAGATCAGGTTGAGATCTGGCGTGTCTTATACTGTTGCACTGTCAGCCGGCCATATTTGAGGTGTCGGACTTCTCAACCCACGGTGGAGTCGCCGCGCGGCAACTGGGGTTCAGGGAAAGCTCCGCAGTGACGAACGACGATGGAGATTGCGCAGCGCATGTGAAAGACAACGATGGAGTCACTACCCAGAGATGACATATACACTGTGAAAAGGTGGCTAGCCACACAGAACATGACACACAAGACACAGGTGTTGCACCTTGCGACCCCTCGGCGGGCGCTGCACTGGTGGTGATGATTGACTTGGGCTGAGGTTTGGTCGTGCTAGATGCCACAGACGGGCCGCTAACAGCTCCATCTAACCCTGCCTATAGCCCTGCATCGGCCTTCCATTCGGTGCACCCCACGACTCCGCGGTTTCCGTGCATCATCCAAGAACAGCTTAAGTGTTTAGCCAGGTACAAGTGTTACGACAACATTTCGCGTTCGCACTGAAGACAAGCGTTCCGTGAATCAATTTTGCATTCGAGACTATATGTGAACTAAATGGTCGTGCAAAAAACTACAGGAACTAAAGGCGCTCAGGCGCGTTACCGGCTTGTCAGGCTCATAGTTAGTTGTTTGATCAATGGTTATAGACGCTCCAACACCAGCAGTGGTAGTCCAGGGATGATAGTCGCAGCCCCAGTCTACGTGTGACAAAGGCAGCTGAGCCTCCTTGGTCGCAAGGACTTGGACGCAATACTGGAGCCGAGCTGTTGAGCAACGACACAATCTGTGCGCGTCCTAGCACGACCAGAATATAGTTGGTCATTGACAATTCTGCTCTACGTCCTCAAACGGTAATAGAACATGTCGGTTGTTTTTACCTTTTTGTGTGGAGCTCTACACTCCGGCGGTGAGTGTCATCATCGGGAAGGCACGTATGACGAAAAAGGAAGTGACACAAACGAAATTGGAGGGCACGCACCTTCGGTTGTACCTGACTCTAAGAGCCCAGACATGCATGCACCGCTTGTCCGTTTGCATAGAGCAATCGCGACTCGTCGGCAGGCAACAATCACGGGCTCTGGCATGGAGTGACTTTTGGAACTCGTGCAAGCTGCTTTGTCTCTGCTTCTCGACAAATGTTCCTTACGTAGTTGGGCGAAATTACATTGCGAGATTGCTGCAGTAGTCGGGGGTCGGTGAATGCAGGCCCTTCATGTTACTGGGTCGGGGGCTGCGTTGACATGGATTGCGGTCATGGTGGATGATAGTAAGAGTATTTAGACAGTGCTGGTCATGCGGAAGGTGGTGTGGACTGGTTACTGGACGTCCGAGTTGCATCGTGAGGCAGTAGATAGAAGTACAATTTGGTGTCGATCAAGATGACTGTGCTCCCAAGGGCTATAGACGTTGCCCTGAAAGCATTTACCGAAGTGCTGAACCGTTTCTCCAAGGAAAATACCGAGCCGACGAAGGCTAAGACGATGTCGCGCTGCAAGACGGTAGACCATGGTGTGATCCTACCTTGCGCTGCTGCGAACCATATCGAAGAACTTTTGTCGACCACATTTCCTTTGTATGCGTGTGAAAGCCGTATTAAACTGAACCCAGTGAAGTAGCCATAGGATTACAGGAATGAAGTGCTGAGAGAGAGGCGCCAAACCGAGGAAGCCATACGAACCCTAACTTAGTACCGCTTGGGTTCTGCCTGGGTTAGCGGAGAGCTAGCGGTATGAGCGATCGTAGTCACCCTCGTACGAGCGTCCTCCGCCGTACGCCTCACGCGGAGGAGGTGCATCGTAGGCGCCAGCAGCTGGGGGCGGGGGCCTGTCGTAGTAGCCACCTCCACCACCCCGACGATCATCGCGTCCGCCGTCGCGACCGCCATCCCTGCCACCGTAGCTGCGATCAGAGGCATAGCGATCAACACCACGAGGACCGTAGTCATCGCGGCGGCCGCCACCTCCGTAGCCGCGATCATCGTATCTTGAGCTACGGGAACCATAGTCATCGCGTCGACCGTATCCGCCGCGGCGATCATCAGTGTATCGATCGTTGTAGCGAGGGCCGCCTCGGCCACGTCCGCCAAACTCTGAGTTGTTATTAGCACGGCATGTAAAGTGCAAACAGTAAGACTTACCACGCTTGGGCGGTCCGTAGTACTTGCCCGGAGTGGGAGTACGGGGACGCGCACGGCGGGCCTTCTCGATGCTGAGTGTGCGGCCCTGATGGACCTCTCCTTGAAGACCCTCCTTCGCTGCGTCAGCCTGCTCAGAAGTGACCATCTTGACGAAGCCAAAACCACGAGACTCCTTAGTGTGAGGATCGCGCATGATGTTACACTGCTCTACCTCGCCGTACTTCTCGAAGAGACGGGTGACCTCTTCTTCGCTAAGAGTAGGATGAATTCCAGTGACGAAGAGGTTGGAGCCAGAGTTACGGCTCTCATCGTCATCATCCCTACGCTCTGGCGGCGGGCCACTGAGCAAGTGTTAGTCAATAGTTCCATCAAGGCGAGCAAGCAGATACATACCGGCTGTCGCGACCGCCAGGTGAGGCGCTGCGGGCACGCGCGCCGTCGTCGCGACGGTCACCACGCGGAGACCTGCTACGATCGCGCTCATAGCCGCGAGGCTCGTCTGCAATCCAGTCAGTATTCGCGCGATCATCACACAAGGCGAAAGACAAACCATCGTAGCCGCGCTGTTCGTTTTCGTACTCCATGGTGATGATGTTGTGGTGGGTCGGGTGAGTTGATAGTTGGTTGGTTGAGGAAAGGTGTTTGCTGAAGCTTCGAGTTGGGCGATTTTTTGGCAGGACTGATCGACAGTAGCCGCGTCTCTACTTAGTAAGCGCCGCGCTAACTGCCAGCAGCGCTGCAAGTGAGTGGAGTAAAAAGCGGGAAATGTGATGAGAGAGTGGAGGTGCCAGGCGAGCCAGATGCTATTTGTAGGCGACTACCTGGTACTGACAAAGGAGCTGTCCTGGAGGCAACTGCTCGCCCGAAGTGAGGCAACTGCTAGGGGTAAATGTAAAGCGCCCTGGCCGCCTTGTCTTGCCCATCAACGTGCGTCAACATCACTAATGAACCGCCGTCTCTCACAGAATAAGACTCTACTTTACCTGTCGAAGACTTTCACAACACACTGCATCACTTATCAAGACGCTACCAGTGGTGCGTGTTGTAGCCAGCTATGTTCATATTCAAGCCTATCGCAATCGGCGCTTCGTTAACCGAACCCCGTCAGACGCCTTGCCACTGGCCTCACCCAATTACTCCTACTAAGATGCTCTGCTGAAACAACCCATCGAATGCGGTATCTGTCGCAGCCCTGTAAGTGAACACCATGCGCCAGTTGCACCTCGTCTGCCCAGTAAGGTAGGTATGTTACAAATGCCAATGATAATACAAGACATGCCTCCAGGAGTGCATGCCAACGAAAATAGTGAAAAGCAAAACTAGACCCATCGTCTACCATCCTCTCGACCTCTTCTGCCTCTTACGTGCAACTGCTTTTTTGATCGCCGCCACATTGGAGTCGGGTGTGTCAGTAGGCCGAATAGGATCCGAGTCAGCCAGACCGTCTAGTTCGTCATCATCGAGCTCGCTAAGCTCCTCGCTCATGTCTCGGAGTACCTCTCGGCCAGTGTACCGTTCCTCATAGACAGTAGTACCGTGGACGTCGAAAGTCTCAAAATACCAGGGGACACCGCCATTGCCGAGGGGGTTTAATAGGTTCTTCTCAGACCTTGGAGGCGTCAGAGGCTCGGGACGGCCATTGGTCTCGGCATGAGATCCTGTTACTGCACTCTGAGGCTGGTTGCTAGATACGTGAAGAGCGTCCCGTCCGAGTTGAATAGCAATGGCTGCCTCGTCCGCCGCCTCATCATGCGCATGATGTGCATCTGCAGCGTTTTCGTCAGGTGTGGGCGCCATCTGCATCTCCTCGGGTTTTTGGTTCAGCACAGCAGCTTCTTCCCCATCAACGGCCTCTTCTTGAGCTTGCTCAACAGCCGCCGGGTCCGTTTCCGTCGTTTGTCGAACAGTCTCAGCCTGTGAAAGAATGCTAGGTCTGCGTTGTAGCTTTTCATTGAGGAGCGTCTCCAGATCGGGCAACTTCTCGTAAGGACGACCAGCTAGCTCAGACTCTTTCCTAAGCGCATCCTCAAAGTAAGGTTGCAGAACTTTGGTAATCCGTTTTACGATCTTCTTCATTTCCTTCTGCTCAGAGGTCAAACTGCTATGCGAGACCTTGTTCAGTTGTTCTTCGGCCTCGCCAACGTTTGTGACCGCGGCAAACCCGAGCTCTGCACTCAACACCGCGGCTACATCGTCATTGAACGTCTGCACTGACGTGTAGTATTTCTCGTCGAGTTTTGTCTGAAGATTGTTGAATCCTTCAGTAAAATACCCTCTACTATCGAGCCTATTGAAAAGTTAGTGAAAATCTAAAGCCAGCAATGTGCTACTTACGCTTGCGCTCGCACCAGAATAGGCTGAAGGAGTTGAGGGATCGGAAAGTATATGCAATCGACGATCTGCTGCAGTATCAGGACGTCCTTGAGCTTCTCGGCTTCTCGCTGTTTGACCATCTCGCATAAAACACGGATCTGCTCCATGTCATCCTCGAGGCGTTCTGCAAACTCAATGCGTCGCTGTAGTCGGGGCCTGCCAGCTGCGCCCATGCCCGCAAAATTACGGCGAGTAATCTCCATGGACGAGAAGGCTTCCATTTGCAGCTGAAGGCGCTTTAGAAGAGCAGCACCGCGTCGAGCCTCACGCTTGAGCGTCCAGTATTTGCAGGCCTCTTGTACAAACTCTTTGCGCTTACGCACATTGAATTTGATCAGCGTGTTCTCAACGTTGTGGTAGACAGCTTGGGGAACAACGGGTGCTCCTGACGGAAGTCTCCAGGACTTGGTAGACTGCCCGCGCTTCCGCTTGTTGGATCCGG